CCTCAACTGCACCCCACAGTTAGGGAGTATGGCTCCCTGGTTTGATCTTCACCCCCTGGGAAGGCTCAGGAATATGGCTGAGGCCCTAGATACTGTCCCTAGGACCTCTGGGCCACATCCTCGTCTGGAAGAGAGCCTGGGGGTGGAGCTAGAAGGAGACTCTCCCTCAGTTTTGCTTCAGGTTATTTCCTGAAGGCTCAGCTTTCTCTTTTTCCACTGTTTGAGGCTGCTAATTAGTGCTCCTTCCCAAAGGCTTGGAGTCCACTCCAACCATGGGGGGAGCGGGCCTGCTGCCCGGGTGAAAGGACCGTTTCTCCCAGGGTCCTCACTTCCGGCGTTTCATAGCCATGGTTTTTCATTAGCAGCAGCTCACTTCATGGCACCCCTAGTGCCCTGGCCCTTGTCCCTGAGCAAAGAAGAAGCTCAAGGGGAACACCTCTTTACCAGAGACTGCACGATTGATGGGAGTCATCATCTGTGTTTCAACGGTGTGTGCGGACCAGTGAAGGAGGCAGCCGGAAGGGATATGACAGAGTAGATCGGAGTCTTGGCAAATCTATCAGAACACTGACACTGAATGCAGCTGGGAGAGCTTGGCTTCCAGAGGTTTTAACCACCCCTACCCCGGAGGTGCACAGGAGTGATGACGGGGGAGGCTCTAGGTTGGGGACCACGGACAGTTCTGCCATCTTTGGGCTTCATGTGTCAAACAAGAACAGGCACAAGTGGCAGTTCCAATGGGACACATTACCAGTACAATGGAAGGTACCCAATACATTTGGTAGGTGTGTAAATGCATGATTTCATAAATACAGCTGATCAGCTTGGGTGGGAGGGGAAGAAGATGGGAGGGCACTGTGCTAGGCAATGGGGGAAGGAAATGGTGGCACAAAGAGGGATACATGCTTATACAGGAAGCAGAAGACTTTCTTAGTAATAATTATTAGCAGTACTAATTAATTAGTAGTAGTAGTAATTATGGCCTGAATTCACTTTCCAGACCTATCTGCCACTCTGGCCATGCTGGAGCCATTTAATTCCCTGGACAGATACACACACACAAACACACACACACAGGTGCACACATACATATATCTCTTGCACTGTTCATGCTGTTGCCTCTATCTGCAGCGACCCCCTTTTTTATCCCTCCCTTGCCATCCTTCATCGCTAGGTAATCGAATGATCCAGGTGAAATGTCTCCTCTTGAGCACCTTCTCAGGCACCAATCCATTCCCCCAGCCCTGCCACATAATCATTTTCTCTCATACCCCTGGTAGCACTTTGTGTTCATCCCTGTTTTTAGCACTTGCCACCTATGTTATCAACGTCCAAGTGTCTGTTCTGTCCCTCCAAACCGCGAACTCAGGGCAAGGCATGAGTCTTAGGCATCTGTGAATGGGAACTCATTAGCATAACTGTGAATGGGATCTGTGAATGGGAACTCATTAGCATAACTCCAGGCATACAGTAGGTGCTCAATACATGCCTAGGGAATGAATGACTAGGGTATGCAGCATATGTCCTGGAGCTTCATGAGTCATCACATGTTATTAATATGGCTACATTGTTTATTTGAATAGTCAATGCTGCATTATTGATGGGTTGTTTTTGTTTTTATTTTTGTTTTTACATAGCGTTTCTGGGACTCTCTTCATGTATGGGTTTTGTGAAGGACAGAGTGCATTGGACAGGATCTTTCTGAACAAGTCCATAGAACTATTGTGAGGCTTCTCACCTCTCATCATAAGAGGTAGAGAAGTTTTCTGATAAACAGTGAGGTATTGTGCTCACTCATGAATAAAATACTTACCTGGTAGCTAAACTTATTGACAATAAAATGTCACAAAGAGGGCAGCCCGGGTGGCTCAGCGGTTTAGCTCCACCTTTGGCCCAGGGTGTGATCCTGGAGACCCGGGATCCAGTCCCACGTTGGGCTCCTTGCGTGGAGCCTATTTCTCTCTCTCTCTCTCTCTCTCTCTCTCTCTCTCTCTAATAAATAAAATCTGTTTAAAAGAATGTCACAAACAGAAAAGGCAGAAACCATTATATAAAGGCCAGCATACCCCTTGTGCTCTTCTGCCAATAGTGGCCATTTATTACTAAGTATTTTGACAGTGGTTTGTCTGAGTTCCTTAAATGTCTTTGGTTTAGCTGTCCTGTGTCCACTGCATATTGAGTGGCACAGAGAATTGACTTTGATGGTGGTAAGCCATGTAGCAGTTTATTGTTAAGTTGTGGTGTGGGGTAAGGGACTTGGAGGTAACTTGGACTTAGAATGGAAGCTCACTTTCCATTGTATGGACTGAAGCAGTGTTTTAGCACCAAAGCCTATACTCGCACTACTGTCCCTCATGTGTGATTAGCCACTAGTGACTCAGCTCTGAGAACTAGTCACGGTACTCTACAATCATTTCATAGCCATGGTTTTTCAATGGCAGCTTTCTAACAAGCTCGTGTTTGGGATGCCAGTGGCAGACCTATGGACTTTTCTCAAGAGATTTGAGAGATGCAGCTAGTCAGATAGCATTATTTACTTTGGGGAAACTTTGAGTCCCAAGACCTGCCTGCCCCAAGACTGTCCCAGTAGTACTTGCACTGACAAACCATGTCAAAAATTTCATATTTATCATCCCAGAAATTTGGCAATAATAGGACTGAGCAGACCAGGACTGAGAAGTTGGCAACTGCTGAGTTTAAAGTGACTGAAGAATTAGTATCTACGAATAGTCTGCAGGGAATCACTCTGGGGAGAATATTTTTGAAGAAGTTGAAAAAAACACTTAGTATACCCTGTAGTGGAATCTGCTAAGATGTCTTACAACTCATGGTGGGAAAAATGTGTGGAGCAGAAAAAGAGTTAGTGAACAGATATTTTAAAACTTTTGAAAATGTGGGGCACCTGGGTGGCTCGGTGGTTGAGCATCTGCCTTTGGCTCAGGTCATGAACCCCGGGGTCCTGGGATGGAGTTGCTCATCGGGCTCCCCACAGAGAGCCTGCTTCTCTCTCTGCCTATGTCTCTGCCTCTCTCTGTGTGTCTCTCGTGAATAAATAGATGAAATTTAAAAAAAAAAAACTTGTGAAAATGTAAGGTCTTTAATGGTTTTATTCATGATACTTTTATCAGCAGTTACACTGAAGGCGCTTGAATGTCTCATGTGTTACTAAATCAATGGGGAACTTCATTCACTCTCATGAATTTAACCATGGCAGTTCTATGAACTTGTGTCAAAAATGGAAGCTGGATACCCCGACTTGTGCTATCACACAGTAATATCACAGTGGTAAAGGGATGTGTGAGTGTGTGTGTGATTTTTTTAGCTCAAGGTGGAGATTGAATTATTTTTGATTGAGAAAAATCTCCGGCAACTGTTATTATTGAACACTGTATATTTTTGGAAATTAGCTTTTGTCGTGGATTTGGTAATATTTCTTAATAAATTCAACCTAAAGCTACCAAGTGAACAGTGCTTTTATACAAAACTTGTACTTTAGCAAAGTCATTTCAATGACAACTAACATTGTTTGGATCAAAGTGATGTCAGGCTGCTTTATATACTTCCCATGTTGTCAAAAGGTAAAATAAGTGAGATTTCTATTCTTACACAAATTTGCAGTGGATATGTATCCAAGCTCAGACTATAGTTCCAGCAGCTTTTTTCAGATCCCTGTGCGAGTAAAAAGGAAATTTTCATATTTCAAACTCACTTAATTGTGCAGTTGAAGAGCTTCCACATAAACTTCAAGTGGAAGTGATTAATCTGCTGTGTAATGACACGTTAAAGGCAAATATGAAAAGAAGACTCTAACAGAATTCTATAAATGTCTTCCAAGAGATGAATAGGCTCAATGAAAATCATGTTTGTGGATTGATATGAGTATTTAGAAGGACCAGCCTAACAGATTGATATCGATATTTGCCAATATCTCTGTGAAAAGACGTTTGCAAAGATGAACAGAGATCTCATCAGAGATCAACAGATGAACATACGCAATCAATTTTGATGACAGCACAAACCATGAACCCCAATTAAACAAAATTTTTTCCCAAAAGAATTCCATTCTTCTCATTAGTGGGCCTCTACTATTAAAAAGTGTATGTAATTGTTATTATATTTTTAGTTTCAACAATCAAATATTTGTGTTAATTTGTTTTCTCTCTTTTTATAGAAGTACCTACGTAATGGTCTTGATTTTAACTCTGAGCTTCCCCAAACCCAAATGTTTACTATTTGCCCTTTATAGGAGTTTCCCCAACTTAGACGGCAATATATTGGATGATTATGCTTTCTCAGACACTTGTAAAAATAGAAGGACTGTAGTTGCGTGGCCCTAAAAGCCGTGGAGGCCCTAAGGCCTCGAAGCACAAGATGGTGACCCGGAGCAGCCCCGGAGGCCAAGGGCCTAGGCCCTTCATTGGCGGCTGAGCACGTCAGTCCCTGCTTGTCGACAAATGAGCGTGCGCCCATTGTTGACGCGCCCGGCCCCGCCCCCCGCCGCAGCCTGGCAGAATCCTGGCCGCGCCGTCCGCTGTCCCCCGAGGGGAGGCCTGGGCGGGCCGCTCCTGACCTCGGCTCCCTTCCTTTCCCGTCGCGGACCTCCCCGGGCTCTGCCACAGGCTGTCGTCCCCTCGGTGGGCAGCTCCTCGGCCGCCCGGCCCGCCCCACTTCGGGCCCCGCTGCCCAGGGCCTCGGGTCGGCGGCGGCCCACCCGACGGCCACCGTCTTCGCCATTGGCGTCGCCTCCGCCCGGCCGACGCCCCAGCGAGGCGCTGCCCGGTGCCATGTCCGCCTCCGGAGACCCAGGCCAGGCCCCAGGAGGGCAGGATAGCCCCGTGGGCGCCGTGGGGGCGTGGGCCCCAGTGGCCGCTGGCGGCGGCAGCGGCGGCGGCAGCGGCGGCGGCAGCGGCGGCGGCTGCGGCGGCAACGGGGTGGTCCTCGAGTCCGGGCCCCAGCAGGTGCAGGCGGCCGGGGTCGCCGGGTCCGCGGAAGGCCTCGGCATGGAGGTCGTGGGTCTCAATCTGGCCATCGACCCTGAGGGCGGCAACGCCCACGCCGAGGAGGCCGAGGACGACTCGGACTTCGGGCCGGCGGACGAGGACCGGGAGGAGGCGCCGGCGGACGGCCTGGACATCCTGGTGGACGCCCATCAGTTCCCCATGGTCAGTTTCCGTTTCATCTTCCTGGACTTGGTGCACTCGCTGCTGCACCGCATCAACTGCAACAACCATATCCTCGTGCGGCCCCGCGGCGGCGGCATGGTGATCCCACCCCAGCCTCAGCTACGCGACAGCCTGGGCCAGCACCCCGGGCCCCTGGCTGCGCTGCCAACACCTGCAGCGGCCGCCGTGGTCCACGAGTCCGAGGCCTCGTCCGAGGAGGAGGCCGACTGGGAGACTGCGGAGGAGCCGGATGAGGAGCCGCAGATGGGGCCGGCGGCCGCCGATGGTGAGGGGGGACCGGCGCGCTTCCTCCCGGCTGCGGGCGGCCCTGCGGGCGGAGGGGAGGTCGGGGCCCAGGGCCCGAACCGGAGCCCCCTTCCCTAGCGACCTATGGTTTGGAGAACGAAACCTGCGGCCCTCTGGCAGCCTCGGCCAAGAGAGCCGAGGGCCGCAGGGGCAGCGCAAGCACTCAGGTCAACGTTGGCTCGGGGGGGGGGGGGGGGGGGGGGCGGGGCCAGGTGGAGGGCGGAGCCGGGGAGAGGGAGGGGCGGGGCCAGGCGGAGGGTGGGGCGGGGCGGGTCCAGTCGGGGCGGGGGCGGGCGGGTCAGGCGGGGCGGGGCCGGGGAGAGGGGGCGGGGCCAGGCGGAGGGCAGGGGAGAGGGAGGGGCGGGCCAGGCGGGGCGGGGCCTCGAGGGAAAGAACCAGCCAATGGCGGAGGGCGGGGCCAGGCGGGGCGGGAGAGGCAGGCCGGGGAGGGGCGGGGCCTCGAGGGAAAGAGCCAGCCAATGGCGGAGGGCGGGGCCAGGCGGAGGGCGGGGCGGGGCCGGGGAGAGGGGGCGGGGCCAGTCGGAGGGCGGGGCGGGCGGGTCAGGCGGGGCGGGGCCAAGCGGAGGGCGGGGCCGGGGAGAGGGGGCGGGGCCAAGCGGAGGGCAGGGGAGAGGGAGGGGCGGGCCAGGCGGGGCGGGGCCTGGAGGGAAAGAACCAGCCAATGGCGGAGGGCGGGGCCAGGCGGAGGGCGGGGCCAGGCGGGGCGGGAGGGGCAGGCCGGGGAGGGGCGGGGCCTCGAGGGAAAGAGCCAGCCAATGGCACACCTCGTTTTTGTGCGTGGCTTTTAAACATGTCAAGTCTTAGTTCGTCCCCATCGTGATGAACTGATATGTGGTTGAGGAACTAATGAGCTTCACCATAGAATGTGTCGTGGGGGCAACACATTTCTGACAAAAACTTAGAGAATGGAGCAGACCCTGATGATTCCAATCCCTTCTCAGGAGGGTCCAAAAATAGCAGCACAGGGTGGCAGGTGGACTGGAAAGACTGTCACTGCGAAAGTAAGTGATCCAGCGGCACAACAGTGAGGGCCATGGAGAGGCTGCACCAATGAGTAGGAAGCTTCCCAGCTATTATTTTCAGAGTTACTTCTATCCTCCTGCTTCTCCTGCGGGTAGAGTACGGGATGTCACTATTCATTATGCGTCGGGTTGGTTTTTCCTGTGAATGTCTGCTCCAAAGTCTGTATTATTCTTCACTAAAGGGACAACTCAATACCAGTATGAAAACTCTGACAAAGAGGCCCAAGGCTCTGAGAGGGGGGAAGAAAAAGAGAAATTTAACAATAAACAAGATGGACCTAACTAGAAGGGATCCGGCCCAACAGAGAACAGGGCCAGAAAATCCAGGTATGGGTATAGCTTTGCCCATCACCCGACCATTCCCGGCATTTACCTGTTACTGACAGTCTTATTATTTTTCAATTCTCCTAGTAAATTAAGAAGTTTGTTTAAGATCAGTTTAAAAATTCAGTTTTAGCTGCTCAGAACATTAATAGAATGCTAATGTATCTAGTAACAGAAATCACAGTATATTCTGAAATATATTTCCATGGCTTCTCATTCGTTCTCGTGAGGTCTTTTGTCCTCTACCTGTGAGACTACTAACGAGCGGTAGATGTATCAGTAGCTGAGACCAGTATTTGTTTAGAGAACAGTTACTGGAAGCAGCAGCGCCAGTGGCTGGGCTGTGCACTAATTGGACATTCGTTACTTGGCCATGGAAATGTACTGCCTTGTGCTAACTAGGAGACGATGCCTTTGCCAATGTGATTACATACAAATAGCAAAAAGTCGAGAATTTCAAGTAGGACCACATTTAATGATTAATACCTAATATTCAGGTGTAGATTTTTGTATTTTATGTGAAAGTCTAAAGCAAGTTAGTCATAGTATGGTGATTACTTATCACTGAATTGGTAATGAAGTCTTGAGGTGTATCTTGTCTTTGAATTTATTTAAATGATTAACTTTTTTTTTTGCATTTCCACAGCTGTGTATTTCATTATCACAGCTTCTTTTTCATATGGTAGATATGGAAACCGAGGGTCTGGGAGAATAAGGGAGTAGCATTTGTGGAATGAGCATAGGCTTTTAAGGTGAAGAGATTTCCTTAAATCTCCGAATGGCCTCTCAAGGGTGGAGGGAAGCATTTATGGTGTTAGGCAAGAGGGAGACAAGGTTGGTAGGCTCACAAAATTGAAGCCATGGGTTGCACGAGCACCCTACACACAAGGGTACAGGTTACAAGAGGAAAATGTGTGGTACTCAACTTGAGATACAGCACACAAATGCAGCATGTACATAGGGCTATTTTCATAGGTTTAGAAAGTCACTGGCGCTGGTTAATGCTGTGGAACTGCTAATTTTCTCTCATTTCACCCTGCAGTTGGAAGAAATAGAAAGAAAATGAAGAAGCAAGAACCTGCTGTTCATTATTTTTAAGATTTTCTTTTCTTTTTTTAGAAGCCCATGGGAATTTTATTAACACCAATTCAGCGTTCCAAACTGCATCACCAAAAAGTGCTCTCTGATGAAATCTGACTCCTCTCTTACTTGTGACTGGTATATTTGACAGCATTTGTTCTGGTTAAAAATAAATTTGTTTTAAATTAATAAGATGGAACATAAGCAGATTTTATTTAGATAAATTGTCCTGACTCAAATCTTTTTCCTCTGTGTTTTGATCCACTTCACCTTCACTGACAGGTATCGCCCTCCACCATGCGGTGCGCCTACTTTAAATGATTTTATTACAGTCCAAAATAAATTAAAATGTTAAGTGTAAAACAATTTTTGTAAGGAGAGAGATGTAGGTCAAGCCTTTAGAGCTACACTGTCTACTACGTTAGTGATTAGCCATACATGGCTACTGAAATATGGCTAGTCTAATTTGAAGTGTGCTGTTAAGTATAAAATATTACATTAAGTCACTGATGATTTTATACTGATTACATGTTAAAACAATAGTATATTGAGTTAAAATATACTATTCAAATTCATTTTGCTGGGCAGCCCCCGTGGCACAGCAGTTTAGCGCCACCTACAGCCTGGGATGTGATCCTGGAGACCCGGGATCGAGTCCCACATCGGGCTCCCTGCATGGAGCCTGCTTCTTCTTCTGCCTGTGTCTCTGCCTCTCTGTCTTTCATGAATAAATAAATAAATAAATAAATAAATAAATAAATAAATAAAATCTTTAAAAAAATTCATTTTGCCTGTTTCTTCTTACTTTTGAATGTGGCCATTAGAAAATTTTAAATTACACATGTGACTTGCATTATATGTCTGTTAGACAGCACTGCTCTAGAGCAGGGTTTTGAAGGAAACCTCATGGATGGCTGAGCCAGCCCAGAGGCCAGATGGGGCGGCTGCACCTGGGCCCAGATGCTGATTAGAGCAGTGGTTCTGGAAGTTCAGTTCCCACAGCAGCAGCAGCAACACCCAGGAATTCTTAGGCTCTACCCAAGACCTACTGAATCAGAAACTCAGAGGGGAGGCCCAGCACTGTGTTTTAACCAGCCCTTCAGGGGATTCAGATGCAGCTAAGGGTCTCAGAAGCACTTGTTAAGAGCCACAGGGAAAGAAGCCAAGACTCACCAATGGTAGAACCAGCCTTGATTTACTAGCTTGGGGGTCGCAGGTAAAGTGAAGAGGATGGCAAAGCCTGGGCTGGGATGGGGGTGGGGAGAGGCCCAAGGGCTGAGACACAGAAAGGGCTCAGATCAGCAGAAAGCTGCACAAGGGGAAAAGCAGGTGCCACAAGGATGCACAATGATCACCATGTGTTGATTGTGGATACAGATGTCTGGAGTAAAAAGCACGCATAGGAGAGACGCTTACACATGTAGCATGTGTGACAGTATGCGTGGAAAAGGTAAATAACTCCTTTAGGATGGTGGTTACTTCTTGGGGAAGCAAAGGGAGGGGAATCCTCTTGGAGAAGACTCCACAGTGGCTCAACTATATTTGTAATGTTACATTTCTTAAGTTGGGTGGTGGGTACGTTGATGTTGATAGGGTATTCTAATTCTGTGTAGATCTGAAATATTTCCTGATAAAAAAATGAAAAAAAAATAGAGGAAAGAGAGAGAATGGGCTTAATATCCAGACTCTAAGGGGGAAAGAAGGTACAGTTGTACCTGAGCAGTGGATCAGAGAAGAGGAAAGGCCAGAGGGGAAGGGGCTTGAGAAGAGAAGGTCTCATTTCTGCATTTAGTTAAGGCCCCCCGGGGGGTGCCCCTGCACTGTCTTCTCTCATACTCTGTGCTAGCACATTTCAGATGCTAACTCACATTAGCATTATTGTTGAATTGATGTCAAATTCACTTAAAACCAACCATTTAAGGGCACTTGGGTGGCTCAGTGGTTGAGAGGCTGCCTTCAGCTCAGGTCGTGATCCCCAATCCTGGGATCGAGTCCCAGCATTGGGCTCCCCACAGGGAGCCTGCTTCTCCCTCTGCCATGTCTCTGCCTCTCTCTCTGAGTCTCTCATGAATAAATAAATAAAATCTTCTAAAAAAACAACCATTTAAGAGTGAGCGATTCACTGACATCACAATGTTGTGCAACCACTACCTCTTTAATTCCAAAACGTTTTCATCAGCCCCAAACTCTGTACCCATTAAGCAGCCACTCCCCATTTCCCCCTCTTCCAGCCCCTGGAAACCAGCAGTTTGTTTTCCAACTCTATGAATTTCCCTATTCGAAGGGCATCTGGGTGGCTCAGTAGGTTAAGCCTCTGCCTTCAGCTCAGGTCATGATCCCGGGGTCCTAGGATCAGTCCTAGGATCAAGCCCTGCATCGGGCTCACAGCTTAGCAGGGAGCCTGCTTCTCCCTCTCCCACTGCTGCTCCCCCTGCTTGTGCTCTCTCATGCTCTCTCTCACTGTCGAGTAAGTAAAATCTTTAAAAAAAAAGTTTCCCTATTCTGGACATTTCATAGAAGTGAAATTATATAAATGTGAACTTTTGAGTCTGGCTTCTTTCACTTGGCATCATGTTTTTGAGATGCATCCATGTTGTAACAGGTATCGGTACTTCATTCCTTTTTATGACTGAATAATATCTTAGTGTGTGTATGCACCACACTTTGTTTATCCTTCTGTTCGTAGACAGTTACTTTGTCTCTACCATCTGGCTGTGGTGAATAGTCTTGCTATGAACATGCCTGTTTGAGGATTTGTGCATTATTTATACATGTGTGTATAAATATTTATACATGCGCCCCCCTTCCCTCACCCCTCAGGATGGTGAACTTCTGAATGATTGGGACTGTAAAAGGTTTGATCTTTTTTCCCCCTAAACCTTAGGCACTGAGTTTTTCAGTTAGTAGATACTTCACACTCAGGCCTCTTAAAGTGAAGTAAACCAAACACTTTGACGATCCTTTTTTTTTTATTTATCACTAGTGTTGATGTTTTACAATGTATTATGTGCTCCTTAAGGCTCATACACATGTGGTGTATGTGGTGACACAGAGGTACAGACGCCTGGTTATCATCACCTAAACTGAAAGGCCAGGTCAACAGAGAGTTTTCCATACAGTGCGATTTGAGGGCCTTCAAACTGGTTCTGGTTGGTGTGTGTTGATGCTGTGCTCGTTGTACTATACTAGTGTTTTCAGACCCAAGCAAGAGGGACCCGCGTCCTGAGCTCCATGCTACAGAGGCCCCGCTTTGGTCCTCTTCCAGCCACCCCCTCCCTACAGGACTAGGATCCCAGCCCACGGGAAGGAGGGGTGTGCCCCTGCTAGCCTGTGCTCCTGGTACGTGGCACCCCAGAATAGTCCCAAGCCTGTGGCCAGGGCCTGCATGCTCCTCTTGGTGCTGTCCTCGGCAGGGCTGGCTGCACAGTAGGGGTGTGTGTGGGGGCTCCCAGGCCTAAGGGGGAGGGGGTTGTGTGCCTGAAACAGGGAACAGGGCTGGTCTAGGACACGGGGTGAGGGGGCAGCTCTTCCTACACCATCGGAGCAGGACATAGAAGAGTCTGAGAATTCTAAATCCTTTCAGGTCATTATGAACATACACTTGTCGTGGAAGGAGATAAACCATTCAATAAAACATGCTGATCTAGACATTTCAAAAATATACATATACATATATATTGTGGATCCCCAAATGAACTCTTTTTCTGACCCCTCCAAGTTTTACAAATGTTGCGGCCAGTCCAGGTTAAGTATGTGGTCTATTAACCCTTGCCCCTCTTCACTACATGTTACACTTTATTACCTGGGCATAGTGAGGCCCCTGGCTTCTGAAAATATTTGTTCTTTTTAATTTTTTTTATTTATTCATGAGAGACACAGAGAGGGAGAGGCAGAGGGAGAAGCAGGCTCCATGCAGGGAGCCCCATGTGAGACTCAGTCCCGGGTCTCCAGGATCAGGCCCTGGGCTTAAGGTGGCGCTAAACTGCTGAGCCACCCAGGCTGCCCAAAAATACTTGTTCTAACAGCCAATCTTGCTTCTAGTCCCTAGTCCAGGCTGTAGGACAGCCATCAACCATTCAGCCCCCTCTACTCCCCACTGGTTCCTTTCTTTGCTCTCCAGGTGTTTATACACAAAACCTCTCTTTAATACCACTTCCCTCTACAAATATCCACCTGGGGGGCCATCAGCATGATCAGGGGCACCTTTGTCCTCTGCACAGTCTCATAGGAACATCTTGCTTCTCTGACAAACCTCAGGTCTGAGTTATGAATATCTTAGTCAACTTCCCTCCCCACATGACAAAGACAGACTACGGAACAAGCTTTATTGACTTTATTTGCTTTGCAGATACATACTAAAAATCAAGAACGCTGAAGGAGGGTGAAAACTTGTTAGAATGCACATCTAGGCATTAAAAACTTAACTTCTTAACTTAAAAACAGTTGTGTTAGCTGTGGAAAAGAAATTATTAATGAAGAGCTCTCAAAGTGAGAAAAAGCTAATGGGGGTCTACTCTGAGGGAAGGGGGTAGGGGAGGTGTTACAACTAATTATGGGGATCACCTGGGTAAAGGGCATCTACCTAAATCAACTGTTCACTGTGGAAGTACAAAGGAAATCAAATCCAATCAATCAAAAACCCAGCATTATCAGAACGGCAAAGATACAGTATCAGGAAAAAAATAGATGCTTTATAAAGAAAATGCAAAATCCAGCATATGATCGTACAATGTCACGTTAAAGCATCCCCAGCAAAACCAAGCACCACGGGTTCAAATTAGCTCTGACACCTCACTGCCTCAGTGAATTTGCAGGAGGCAGCACCCCACTCAGAATTTAAAGGCACAGTTAGTTGTCTCGGCTTACATTTCTGTTTTAGCAAAGTGGCCCTGTAGTGACAGAAGCAGACACAGTGAAAGGTAGAGCAAGAAGACGCTTCTGGGTCTCCTAAGGAAATGAGCTAGGTATGTCCGGGCACCCAAAGGAAGCTCTCCGTTGGTGTTTGGTGTGTTTGCAGGATGAATTAGAAGGAAAGGACTTGCGAGAGTGGTTCATGGGGGACGGGGTAGCCGGGGAGGCAGGGTGGGGACCTGTCTAGCCTAGTAACTTGCGTGAGGTGTGTAGCTCCAGGAATGAGGGCAGGGAGAAGCTAGGCTGATTTGAGCACCTAAGGCTTCTAGTTTGCAGAAAGTTAATTGTTCTATGGTTTTGGGGTTGTGGTCTTGCTTTGGGTTGAAATCTTTTGAAACAGAGGCTGCTGAGGGAAAGAGACAAGAAACTGGGCATGTGGAGGTTCCCTGTTAAAACTGCTAAAAAGGTTAAAACTTGTTAAAAAAACAAGATATATATGGCATTCCAGTACATTTCTCAGCACCTAGAGAGTCACAGTGGCATTGGGGCAAGAGATCAAGCACTGATGAATTAGCCATCTAGGGGAGCCCTATAATCCCCGGGAAATGTTCAGCCTCGTAGGGAGGTGCTTACTGCTGCCAGGCTGGTGGTGCAGGGCATGCTCAGAGAGGGCTTTCTGTAAGAGGCATTGGGGGGCTCCAGGGATACCAAGGTGGTGTCTCAAAAGGCAATGGCTAATCAGGGGACTAGCTGTGTGAAACTTTTCTTGAAGACCCAGAATGTTTACTTCCACCACCTCTTCTCAGGGCCTTCTGTGAAGCTTGAAGCAGCAACCAAAGAACTGAAGCATTTAACCAGGCTCATAAAACCTAAAAGCCAATCCTTGGGCCAAATCATCTGGCCATTTCCATTCAAATTAATTTATTTGATCAAGGGAAATGACCAACCCCTCTTAGTTACTCCCACAAAACGTTTTTGCTTTCTCTCTTCTAAAATTCATTCATTGTCCAAAGTTAAAGATTTCCCAGTTCTATGGCTGTGCATTTTCCAGTTTTTATAGAGTAGATGCTAGGTTGTCAGATGTTGGCAGTGACTGTACTAAAAGGCATTCATGGCATTTGTTACATTCAAATAATTGTTAGCTTTAGTTGAAGGGTCTTTTGGTTAATAAAAAGTGGGTATGGTAAATAAATCACTACATGGCATTAATGCAGCTATTGGCAATGATCATTTGAAATGCTGAAGCTCCGCCCAGGAGCTATTTATTGCATGATTTCTGCTATATGGCTCCAAGCTTTGGCTTTCTTCTTGGCCAGGGAGAACCAAACTGGCTCATCTGGCTGTGCTGGCTCTTGGAGCACAGCTGGGAGAGTTGAAGATCGCCTGGTTTCTTTTTCCACTGCAGGCACTTGAACTATCTTCGGATCTTCAAATCCTATGAGAACCACAGAAGTAAGAAGCTCCAGAGACACTCGGGTATGTTAATGGGATATAGTAGAATTTTTCCTCCTTTCCGGTTTCCTCTGGCTTCCAAAAGTCAGTGCATGTGCACTGCTATGGGTGGTGTGTCGAAGGGATAAAATCTACATGGCTGTGGCCATGAGGGCCTGGGCATGGGAAGGCCTGAGAGAAAATACCTAGAGCTGGAACGGCCAAACTTTGGGTGGTTATTATTAGATTATCTTACACTTTTGAATTGAAACCATAGAGGAAATAGATAATATGTTATCTATTCAGTTTTTTACACTTCAAATCAGGTAATGTTATTTTTGTTTGGCTGATCCATGTCACAGGAAATGACTAATGACTTGGTAGATCTACCCAGTAAAAGTCTGTGCTAAAGAACACCATACCACCTACTCTGACCAAGCAGACAACCGCCCCATTCCCCAGTTATACTCCTTACTTCATCCTGCTTTATGGCTGACTGACTCAGTGGCTTATACTCAACCAGTGTGCAGGCTACACATTAGAATCACCTAGGGCTCTCTCTCTCTCTTTTTTTTAAGCAACCAGACTTTTATTTGGTCAATTAGAATTGCAATTTTGGAGACACAGATTTGGGTAGAAGCCTGACTGGTGTTATACAGCTAGAGCTTTTTTAAAAAATACCAATGACTAGGTGCACCTGGGTGGCTCATTTGGTTGAGCATCTGACTCTTAATTTCAGCTCAGGTCCTGATCTCAGGGTTGTGGGATTGAGCCCCGAATCAGACTCCATGAGCCTCCTTAAGATTCTCCCTCTCTCCCTCTTCCCCTCCCCTCCATCTCTAAAATAAATGAACAAATCTTTAAAATATATATATAAATGAATAAAAGTGTCAATGCCCACACTATTTCCTGAACTACTGGAATTAGTTAGCAATGGAGCTAACTAAAAAGCTCACCAGGCAATTCTAGCACACAGTTAAGAACCACTTGACAGGAGTACAGTGCCCATGAGATTATTAATAACTATCAGCAGGTCAGGTGCTACTATTTCATGGCCAGACAATGGCTTCCTAAATTCCTAGTCTAATTTCTTCATGAAGGGGACTAAGGGAGAGGACAAAGATGATTCAATACATATCCATTCTCCCCTCCCCCTGCTCCAATGGAAAAGAAAATCCCTCTGGGACACAACTCCACTATTGAGACCATGTTCTATTCTATCCCAGTCCAGTGTTTGCTGGACTTGGAGAAACAAGCCTTTTAAATAGTTAAAGGAAACAATTGGACACCACTGGGCCTTTACAGTGGATTACTTTAAAGTGTCACTGGGGCTGTAGCAGGTAAGAAAGTACTGCTTTGCTGTAAACTGGAAAGTAGCTTGGTGCTTTCCTCTTGAATCTCAGCCACAGGACCATTCTACCGAGTGATCACAGCTCTGTGCCTATATCAGCTTCCTCCATGCAGCAGAAGACTAGGAGACCCTCTGAAAGTTACATACCGGACTCAGAGTAGTCCTAACAATTAGATTTTCCTGAAACAAGCTAATATCTGTACCTAATGGAAGAGCCACGGGAATCATGAGGCCGATTTGAGGTGTGGGAGGGGTAGGGAAAGACATGTTGTCTGAGATTGAAATTGCTAAAGTTGCCCAATATGCTGCTAGGGCTCCTTCTTTGGGGGGGTGGCGGGGGAGGTGTTTTTTACCTGCTTTGATGGACTTGATGGACAGCTTCTTCTGTGCCATCTTCTCCTGTTTATTGACAACAGAAGTAAAAATCTTTCTGGGTTGGTTTTCATTTGCAAGGCCAGCTCCCTTTAATACAAAAATGAAAACAAAAAGTTTGTTAAGTCCCAAGGTGGAAAAGAGCGAATTACTTATTCAGAATGCTACAGAGTGCAAGTGCTGTTCCCTGGCTATTATGAGTTCAACATTAGTCAAAAGGAAAGAAAGAGAAAGACAAGGAAGGAAACAGCACTGTGAGGACCTTGGCTTAGAATTTAGGTTCACAAAACCTTAGCTAGGTCCAAGTTTACCACCTTTGAGATCTGGAAGGAAAAGTTGTCTAATCACACAAATAGCATAAATGGGCTAACAATTATTTAACTTGAGAACAATCCTTTCCCTAGCATGTTGCCAACACTTAACAACGAGCCAACATGAACTCCTTGCACTAGAAAGGGATGTAGCTACAAGTCTCTTCAGAATTGTACAGTTTTTAAGCTTTTCAAATGAACCTCTCCACAACTTGTCTAAATTAATGAGTTTATATACACTAGTGCTTATCTCTTCATATGTACATGTGATGTTTTCTTAGGTCAGTGTTCTGTCATTTTGACAAGAAGGGTTCTCATCCCAGTACCTCCAAAGACATCACAAATGGGACAATGAAAGCAAAACACCATCCCATCATCTTTGGTACACATGTGGGAACATTAGTCTAGATCATCACGTAACTTTGCTTCTAACCTGCAGGGAGGTGCCACACCAAACCAAACCAATATGTAAAGCCCCAAATATCAAACATTACCTTTATAAGGTCAATCATTATGTATGATATAGAAAGGTGCCCAGAAATGAAATGTCAAATGAAAAATAGTACATATATTTTGATTCCATTTATACTGTCTTGAATGCATACATATATTCACAGGCATAAAATGCCTGTAAGGATAGTTACTCAATTCTCACCTCAGTGGTAACCTTGGGGGTTTTTTCCCCCCGTAACTTATTCCTCACTGCTCAATTTCATGGAATCCTGCTCTAGAATATTTAGGACAGGATTTTATTTACAGAACCTTCTCATACTCATTACAGTTCACAAACTCTTTCAGAGCAAAAGTAGGGCACATTATTGTATGTGTACCAGGCAAGACTCTTCCCCCGAAGGGCACCCCCACTCCACCGCCTTGATTAATGTACCCAAAGAGGTGGGACACTGCACACTTGACAAAATTCCAGGTACAAGCTTAGTCAACCAACTCTAGTAACCTTTTGGAGTGTTTTGTAGGCAGGTTCTACCCCTCTAGGCTCTTTGGCCTCAGCCCTGGCTCCAGCTTTGTTCTTGGTTTTTGCCTCTTTCTTAGGAACGTAGACCTGGGAACTCTTCTGCCTCTGCTTTACCATGGTTATCCAAGCTGGCTCGAAGGTGCCATAATCTGCCTGTCGACCAGGAGCCTTTCCTGAGAAAGGAAAGACAGGAGTTATTACTGAAGTGGGGCAGACAGGGTCTTGAGCCAGGTGGGGGCCTAACCCACAATCATGTACCAGATGGGGTCCTTGTTAATTGCCAGATGAAAAGAAATAGAGATCACATAGAAAAGGGCCCCCTAAAAAAAAGAAAAAAAAGAAAAGGGCCCCCTTCTTTTATGCCATCCTCATAACCTGGCTAGGCAGGAGCTACTTGTGTAGATAAGAGGCTGTACCTCAAAGTTTGCATACTGTCCTCTTACTGGTCCCATTCCCTCCCTTGTCCATCCCTCTTCTTATCCCCAAATCAGGGTAGGACCATGGTTTCCAGGTGGGCTGGGGAAACTCTCAGGAGGCCAGAAGCTCAGGCTATTGATGTCATTCCTCTAACTCCAAGGAACATCCTATAGTATTTGGTATTTCATGGTCGCTCATGTGAGAGTGGGGCTACAGGGGCGTGGCTGTAGGCATGAAGGCCAGGTGATGGTCAGCGTGAAGGCACAAAGGCTTTGAGGGAGATTAGTCCCCAAAAGATCACCTCACTCTGGATTCATAGACATTTTAGGTGCGTGAAGAAGCTATGGAAGTATAAACATTTATAGTAAAGTAAGATTTCAAGCTGAGAGGCTGAACATAGTGCTCTACTAATGAGTTGGCTTTTAAAAACCACATGCTGGTGTGGGGGGAGCATACTGTGTGTAAAGGTGTTTTGAGAAAAGTATAAAATTCCATCTAAATGCAAGGTGCACAGAGGGTTGGGGGAGAAGGAATAGGGAGATAGTAATGTGTCCATCACAGAATGTGGATGGATGTCCATGGCGGATCTCCTTGGAAGAGGGAAGACTCAAAATTTAACCATCTCCAAATCCATTAATTGAGAATGGGGCACCATCCTGTTCATAATATCCACAATCCAGCCCTATCAAAGCAACAACTAGTAGGGCAAGGCTAGAAGAGACTCCATTCCCACCCATGCATTCAAGACTTTGATTTCTAGTTCTTTCCTCCACTTGGTACCTATGTGCCCTCTGGCAAGAGAAAGTCTCACCTGGGACCTTGTAAGCAGGTTGCTTCTTGATGAAGCATTCAGATTTGGGCCTGCTCTGTTGCTTCTCTGCAACGTCAAATGGGTAGGTGAGGTACTCTGCGGTGCCCAGGAGCCCCTGGGAAGCACTTCTGATTCGCTGTTCTTTACCTGCCGAAGATGAAACTGGGCCCAAGAAGAATGAAGAAAGCTTGGTAAGATCATCTTGTTTCTCCTTCTTGTACTTCTTCAAGGAAGGGACCTTTCTCAGGCGAACTCCAAAAAGGTTTTCCACACTAGCCCTAGTGGTGGACACATTTGGATGGCTGTTATTTTGATTGCGGCCCTCAAGACCCTCCTCCTTAGAGACAGTGCCCCCCAAAGTGGGCGCCTGCTTGGCAGGAGCAGTAGTGAACTTCACTGGTTTGGTAGCAAAGGTCAGGATATTCTTGATGGGGTCTTCAGAGCCTTGTTTATGTTTCTTGGCTTTGTTTGGAGAAGCTGGGCCTTTTGGTTGTGACCAGCTGTCAGAACCGCCCTCAGAGATGGTTCCCTCAGTGGAGGCAGCCCACACTGGACCTGAACGACCCTGTGGCTGATATTCAGGGCCTGCAAAAGCCTGATGAGGGTTTCTGGGAGGCTGAGGCTCCTCAGACCTGCTCCGCTTTACAGGTACACTCACTGGGCCTGTTGAGAAAAGCTGTGGCTGTAATTTGGCCCCCTCTTTGGCTTGGGGAGGGCCCCTGAAAGGCAGCTGCCCTTGAGAACTCTTTCGCTCTTCATGAGAGCTCTGAGAGACAGAGAAGGAGATCCCTTGCTGGTACTCCAGCTTTCCCAGTGCCTGGGAAAGGTGTCCGGGGGGCAGCTGATCCTTGGAATGGCCCCACTTCAAGGGGGCACTCTCTGGATGTGAGAGAACTTCTTTTGGGCCTTCAGGCTTCCCGGAGGGCTGTATAGGGCATGGTGGCATAGGCAGTAGCTTCGAAGAAGTGTCTCCCTTGGTACTGGCATTCTCCAGCTCTGAGAAAGCTTGGTACTGGTCTTTTGACCTCAGCAGAGGTTTGGAAGGTTGATTTGCAGGTGGAGGATTCCTAGGGCTTCTCCCCTCAGCAGTGGGCCTCTCTGAAAAGACCTGTTCTGCCATAAACTTCACAAATGACTGGGAAGGCTGCCTGGACACTGGAGCTTTCTTAGACTTGCCTCCTTCAGCAGCAGTGATCTCTAGACGTGAGGACAGCTCCTGAACCTTAGACCTCCCTAAGGGCTGGGGAGCTTGTTTGAAAGGCACTAACTTCCCTGAAATGGCTACCTGGGCAGCATTCTCAAAAGTTGATGACATTTGCTGGACTTTGTATCTGGTGGGAGGCTGGGAAGGCTGCTTGGAAGGCCCTCTCTCTGTAGAAGCAACCCCCTCAGTGGCAGCGCTTTTCAGAGCTGCAGGAGCCAGCTGCTTGCCCAGCGGTTTGGTCAGGGGCTGAGAAGACATTCTGAGAGGGGGCTGCTCAGTAGAACTGCTCCGCTGGGCCATGGAGCCCTCTGGAGCTGCCGAGGCTGGTTGCTTGCCCACTGGTTTGGTTGGGGGCTGAGAAGACATTCTGGGAGGGGGCTGCTCAGTAGAACTGCTCCTCTGGGCCACGGAGCCCTCTGGAGCTGCTGAGGCTGGTTGTTTGGCCACTGGTTTGGTCGCAGGCTGAGAAGACATTCTGGGAGGGGGCTGCTCAGTAGAACCACTCCTCTGGGCCATGGAGCCTTCTGGAGCTGCCCAGGATGGCTGCTGCTTGCTCACTGATTTGGTCAGAGACTGAGAAGACATTCTTGGAGGGAGCTGCTCCATAGAACTACCCTTCTGGGCCATGGAACCCTCTGGAACTGCCCAGGATGGTTGCTGCTTGCTCACTGATTTGGTCAGGGACTGAGAAGACATTCTTGGAGGGAGCTGCTCCATAGAACCGCCCTTCTGGGCCACAGAGCTCTCTGGAACTGCCCAGGACACCTGCTGCTTGCTCACTGATTTGGTGAGGGTCTGAGAAGACATTCTGGAAGAGAGCTGCTCCATAGAACCCTCTGCAATTGCCCAGGACATCTGCTGCTTGCTCACTGATTTGGTCAGGGTCTGAGAAGACATTCTTGGAGGGAGCTGCTCCATAGAACTGCCCTTCTGGGCCACAGAGCTCTCTGGAACTGCCCAGGACACCTGCTGCTTGCTCACTGATTTGGTGAGGGTCTGAGAAGACATTCTGGAAGGGAGCTGCTCCATAGAACCGCCCTTCTGGGCCATGGAACCCTCTGGAACTGCCCAGGACGGCTGCTTGACTTTTGTGCTCCCTGGGGTCAGGGAAGCGCCTCTGGGAGGCTTTGGCTCCACCGGAGAGCTCCGTTCTCGGGCCGCAAGGCTCCTCGATTCCCGGGAGGCGGCTCGGGCCGCCGCCCGCCTCTTCCGGGTCTGAGAAGGCCTCCTGGGAGGCAGTGGCTCCAGAGAAATGCCCCACTCCAGAGCGGCGCTCTCCAGACGCGCAGAGCTCTGCTGCTCGAATGGGGAGCTCTGCCAGGACTGCAAGACGCTCCTGGGAGACGCCGGCCCCGCGGGTTGGCTGCACGCGGCCGAAGCGCCTACCGTGTCCAGAGGAGGGAGCTGTGGCTGGAGTTTTGACCTCATGGAGGGCTGGGCCGGGAACCCAGACGGCAGCTCCACAGACGCGCCCTCGGAGGCGTTGTCTGACTCTTGCTGGGCTTCAGGATTCGGCAAGGACGGAGGTGCAGAATGTTCGGGAAGCGGTGGCTCCATTGCAATGACCTTCTCGGTGGCGGCACCCTCCAGGCCGGAGAACACGTCCGGTTCCACCTTGGGGTGCACCAAGGGCTGCACAAGCACTTGCAGAGGCGGGGGCTCAGCAAAGGGCACGGCGCTTTCCGCGCTCGCGGGGACCTGCCCCTGGACCAGAAGCGGCGCCGGGTGCTGAGAAGCATGTCTGGGCAGCGGCAGCGGCTCCACCACGACGTTCTCTTCGACCGGGGCGCTTTGCACGCTCAAGAACACTTGTTCCACGACGGCTGGTCTCGCCAAGGCTCGGAACGGACCTCTGGGAGGCACCACCTCCACGGAAACGCTCCCCTCCACGACTGGGTGCTCTGGCCTCTCGGGGACGGCTGGCTGGGGTTTCAGCGGGGGCTGAGAAGGCTGTTTCGGGGGCGGCAGCTCCGCGGCCCTGCCCCCTACGGCAGTCGATATTTCTGGACCTTTGGCGACTGGTTGCTGGATCCTAGGCTGCCCCATGGGCCTAGAGGAGACTCTGGGGGGCAGCGGCTCCAGAGAAATGCTGCAGTCCTCAGCTGGGCTCTCGCGGCCCCCGGGGGCCTGATGCTCGGCCTGGGGGCGCAGCCAGGACGGGACAACCTTCCCGGCCGGCGCCGGCTCCACCAGGCTGCTCCCGGGGGCCCGGGGGGCCCTGGTCGCCGCCGCCGCCGCCGCCGTCTCTGACGACACTTGCTGCTGAAGCTTGGGCCTCGAAAAGGACTGAGCGAGCCCCTCCACGGAAACGCCCCAGTCCTCGGGGGCGCTCTTTGAACCCGAGGGGATCTCCAGTACGTCTGTGGGCTTCCCGGAGGCCTGGGCAGGGGGCCTGGGGCGCATATCTTCCTCCGAGGTGCTCCAGTCGTCAGCGCTGTTGTACTTCGCGACGTAGCTGTTGGATTTGGTGGAGGAGGCCCAGGCTTCCGTCTCCCCCAAGGCCCGGGACGCGCATCTGGGAGTCAGCTCCTCCTCTGAAGCCCTCGAGTCCCCGGAGCTTTTGGAGACTGAGAAGACTTGTAGGTAATCTTCAGGCATCCCCAAGGACTGCAAGGGGTGCCTGAGAGCCAGGTGCCGCTCGGAGTCGCTCTCGCCCTCTGAGGGACTGTCCGAATCCGAGGATGCTTCTTGAACTTTGGGCATTGTCAGGATCAGGGAAGAGTATCGCGGAGCCAGCGGCTGCTCCGGCCTGCTCAGTTCCACAGCCGAACTTGCTGACTCTGTGAAGAATTTCTGGTCATCATCTCTGGGCTTCGCCAAGGACTGGAATGAACGCCCGGGAAGCAGCTGCAGCTCAGACCCGCTGGCCTCCACTGAGGAGCTCTCTGAACCCGACGACGGCTCCTCAGCCTCGAGATCCGCCAAGACCCAGGAGAGGCTTCTGGGAGGCAGCCTCTCTGCAGACACGGCCCCCTCGGCCTGAGTGCTCGTGGGACCCGAGATGCTGGCTGTAACGGCCCGCAGAATGCTTCCGGGAGACTTTTCTCTGCAGACCGCTGGAATATCTTGAACTGACTCCATTTTAAATTTGATGGCTTGCAAATCAAAGCTGAAAGCTTCCTCCCTTTCTGACTGGATATGAGAAGGATCCATAAACACTTGAGCCTCCATTGCAACTGAGAAGATGACATCTTCTTGGGTTGTGGAAACAGAAGCTCTGGCTGCTGGCTTCTGGGCTTCAGGGCATGGCGATGGATCGCTGACCGAGGACTCTGCCGAGTCTTCCGGGGTGATTGGTGAGGCCAAGCCTTTTCTGACTTTCAAATCGACACCGGCACCTCTCTTTCTGGTGGCATCTTTGCCTGAAAGAAGCTCCTGAGGAGTAGGACTTTCTGCCTGTGGAGTCGTGGGCTGCTCCAGAACTTGCTGCTCCAAAGACAGGTTCCAGAGAAGATGATCTCTGGCACTCTGATCGGCAGGTGGGGATCCCGCCCTATCACTGCTGCGGAGCCCTCGACTGGATTGTTTGAAGCTTCTTCCTCTGGGCACACACTCACTAGTTCCTGAAGCACTCGAACCTTTCTTTGCACCTCGTCTTCCATGTGCCGCTGAAAATGGGTAGCTCTGACTCCCAGCAGCATCTGCACTTGCAGCCTGATCTACTGTCTTCTTATCATAAGTTTCAGTTTTCTTGCTCTGTTCCAGGCCTGAGACACCTGTACCTAAGAAAAATAAGGAAAGGAAAAATATACATGCCTTTCACTTCCTAAAATTCGAACATTCTGCCCTGGCCCAGCGGGTACCTATTCACTATTGAATTCCTCCTTACAGAGAAGTAGTCATTCAGAAGAAAGTGAGTGACCTGGTCACTATTAGCCTCTGCAGTTGGAAATTATTTTTTAAGATCTTTTTTTTTAAGATTTTATTTATTTATTCATGACAGACACATACACACACACACACACACAGAGAGAGAGAGAGAGAGAGAGAGAGAGAGAGAGGCAGAGACACAGGCAGGTGTGTGAGCAGGCTCCATGCAGGGAGCCTGATGTGGGACTCGATCCCAAATCTCCAGGATCATGCCCTGGGCCGAAGGCAGATGCTAAACCGCCGAGCCACCTGGAAATTTTTAAATCAAAGTGAAATCTCAGTTTTATGAATTGATTACAAGGTCAGCTCATCAACAGCAAATCAGTAGTCAGATCCACCTTTACCTATGAGACACATTGCAAGTCAATTCCCCATCATCCAGTGATTATATGGAAAACCAAAGTAACTGCCCCCACAAACACAGAATTGGTCCTAGCCTCTGTGTGTAAAAGGGACAACTATTAAAAATAAGTAAGAGAAAAATATTTAAAAGAAAGAAAATTTAATTTTCATTTCATTTTCTTCTCTCTGTGTGTGTGTTCAAGACAGTTTTGTGGTTTTGTTAGTTTTCATGGATTAGACAAGCTTATATATAAACAAGCAAGCGCAAAATACCTGTCTGGTTGGAAATTCACTTAGATAGGATAGAGATCCAGGTAGAATCTTTTACCTTAATCCCATGCAAGTGGTAATGGTATTAGTCAGGCAGTATAGATGGAGAAACCTGGGCCACTTTGATATGCATCTTAAATTGAAAGCTCTCTGAGGACCAGGGGCAGACAGCAGCCTGGGTAAATCTCATATAGCTCCTGTCAAAAAGCACTGTGCAATTAAATTCATAATACACATTTCTGAATGAGTGTGAGGCTGTGCCAACCTGGATTGTCTTTTTTCGGCTTCTTTCGGTCAGCTTCTTTTGGTTTGGTTGTACTCTTCTCTTCTTCAGAAACCAGTAGAAGCATTGACTCCTCTTGCTTTGGTTTTGCCTGAAAGAGGGAAAGAAAGAGCTTCAGACTTAAGTGCTTCCCACTCATCCCTCCATGGTTGCCAAAGAAAATAACATTAGGAAAAAAGTTCTTGATATCCAAATAGCTCTGCTGGGAGCATAACAATAACCATAGGAATTATTTCCAATGGCATTAATTCCCTGGTGATCATTTCACCTACTAGATGTGATCATTTTACCTATTGGAAGTGATTCACCTAGATTGGAAGTTTCTGGTCTCTAAGTGATATGCTGCAGAGAACCCTCTGTGACACCCCGGAAACTGCTGAACCACACTACAAGGCCATCAATCCAAAAGTGGGGTTGTTGGGCCTGACGGCAATCATATTCTTAGCAACATTGGAATTCCCAAATTTTTTTCAGCAGATTTGGGAGCCAAACTCAAATCCCATTTGGCTTCTTTTCAGGGAATTTAATGAAAGCATGAATTAAGCCTTTCCAGCTCAAAAGAAGAAAGAGAATCAGGGTTTTGCTGGGAGAGTAGAAGGAAAATAATGAAGGGTTCAACCCTTATACTGAAAGAGTTGAAATTGATTTCATATAAACAAGGCTTGCAGATGATTACAGTGCAGCTTTGGAAATGTCAGAGTAGCACTGCACTGAACGGCTACCAGAATTTGCCTCATGTGAGCCTTTCTGCCATGCATCTAAAAGCAAATGTCCTACTCTTTACACTACTACTCAGGGTGCCTGTGCAAACATACTCAGCTCAAAGTAATTTACTTTTGCATGAATGAGGTTGAGATACGCCTGGGTTCGAATCTCGGCTCCAGTATTTACTCACTGTGTGAGCCTCGCCAGGTTGTTCTCTAAATCTCTATGCCCACATCTATGTCTAAATCTCTATGCCCACCTCTATAAATTAGGGGTGAGGGGGAACCTAAGAAACTCCAAAGCAAGGAGCAAGTGGCAGCAGCCTCTGTGTCCAACATGATCCTGGACCCTTTCATATTCATCCATGTGTCAGGGAGAGTCACATGGAAGAAGACGTCCTGACCTTCTTAGAAAGTGATGCCCAGGCCTTTTCTTAATTAGGCTATGCTGAAGGAAGAGAGTCAGAGGCCCATACATCCTTTCCCTGAGCCAACATTCCCCATCTCCCAGGTTTGTGGTGAGACGTCCAGGTGATAATGCATATATAGTGTTTAGTGCATAGTAATTGGTCACCTTCTGCTTGACAGCCAACCAAGGAGATACTCTCAGGGCCACCAGAGGGCCCCCCAGACCTGCTGTCCCTGACTGTTCTTTCTTTTAAAAAATTTTTTTTATTTATTTTTAGAGAGAGAGCATACAAGTTGGGGGAGGGACTGAGGGAGAGGGAGAAAATCCCAAACAGACTTCCTGCTGAACTGGGAGCCTGACACGGGGCTCAATCCCATGACCCCAAGATCTGACTTGAGCTGAAATCAAGAGTCAGATGCTTAATGAACTAAGCCACCTAATTTCTAAAGTTAAATTGAGGTGTCTAAGCTTGATGCACTGTGGGGTGAAAAGAGTACGGGGCTGGAGGTCAACACTGGGCTCTGGCCCTAGCTCTACTACCATCTGGGTGTGTGACCTTAGGCAACTATTTGTACTTTAATGTCCTCCCCTGTAAAATGCTTATAACTATAAAATCTTTTAGTGTCTTCCAGTTCTAATTTACCACCCTTTACTTATAGCCCAGAGTCACTGAAGAATTGAGTGTTTGACCAAAGTGAATCTTCCAGCTAACTGACACATCTTTTTAAACACCAACTCTTTTAGCAAATTAAAATTTACAACACCAATATCTTTTACCTTTTAGTAAAAATCTTTTCCAAAGGCACTATTTCCTTATCTTCTTAAACAGATATCAAACACAGATAAACTTTTCTTGATGACTTGGATAAATAAGGAACATGATCGATTACACTGGACTATGATATGGTGTGGCCCTGAGAGATTTAGATTTACTGAGGTGGGCATGGTTCTTGATCCCTCTACTAAATGGCCCCAGATTATTTCTGCCATCTTTCTCTGCTATCAACTGTCACTTCTCCTTGTTGTCAGATCTCTGAGTCTCGTGGCCATGTTTTTAACATAATTGGCTTGCCTAAATGTAGTTTTGCCTGCTAGAAAATCATGTGACACAACTTTGGGACATCTATGTGACAATGAGATTTCTAGGGGCATTAATAGCTGAATTCTGAATGCTTGGAGTTGCTGGAAGCCTTGCCTCCAAATGAGTTGAATGGGGCTGCAATTTGTAACTCATGGGTCTTACCTGATTAATAATTTCCTGATCTGGGCCATGGTTGAATGTCCTCTACAAAGAGGGCTGAATGAATTCCCAGACGCTAAGCCAATAAGCAATTCCTGGGGTTTAAGCCACTGTTTCTGCTTTCTTCAGTCCATTTTATGTAAATACCACATGGATAGTACATCCTACCCACTAGATACAAGTTTGCTCACCTCTGGCGGGGTGAGGGGGTGTCAAACTTGGGATAGTGCCCTTGACTTTACCATCCTTACTTAGGGCATGGATCCCCTAAACCATACCACTCCCCAAGAAGCAGTTTGTGAAGGTTGGAACTCCTCTTTTACTATATGGGAGTTTGTTCTTAGGCCTCTTGAAGGACTTACACTGGTTTGAGGGTTCTTCTTTTTCTTTTGTTTCCGGGGGTTTAAAGCCATCTTGTGTCGAGCAGCTGAAGAATCCAAACAGCCCTTGGTGGTGGCTGGGGTGTTGAAACTCATGGGCAGGTGAGTGCTGCCAGGAGAGGCAATCATGGCAAACGTGGTCAAAGACTGTGAGCGGATTGGTCCAGGTGAGGGCTCAAAGGAGCTCTGGAGAGAGGGGGAGAAAAGGAATGAGTCATCTCCCTATGCTGCCACTGGTCTCAAAAGCTGGAAACTTGTCTGGCTGAAGAATTCCTAAAGAAAAAAATCCTTCTGGTCAATAGACTCCTTAGAGGCAAGGTGCATACTTCTGCTGGGTCCCTTGTAGGTGAAAACAAGAAAAGGGAAATGAATTCAGGTTGCGCCCCTGCTTAGAGAGGATTCAGGAGCTCCCCTTTGCCCTCAGGACAGGAACTCAACCATTTAATGGATTTCACAATGTCAAAGGATTTGTGTTTTCCCTTGTCCTATACCCCTTTAATTAACAGGAGGGGCTGATTGGGGTGAGAAGCACAGTCTGTGTCAGGAAAACCAATCAGGGCTGTGGGGTTTCTCCATAGGAGGGCTGGGTAGAGGGGAGAAAATCAGGTTCAAAGAGGGCTTGTCTGTAAGCTGCATTTGCAGAAACAGCACACTACCTTTATTTACATTTACTGTTCAAGGGCGCCAGGCTGATGGGAGGACCTGAGTACCCCCACCCCCAATGAGGTGAGGATGGAGGCTGTCCTTGTCACCTTGTGGCTGGCTTCTACCTCTCTGAACTATCTGGTCCCTGGGGCTCCCAGCTGAGTTCCTCCTAGGAGCCTCAAACTACTCTCCTCTAGGCTTCTTGACATAGCATTTTCTACACCTCAAAAACACACCCCAGAGCACCTCCCACTCCTGAGAAGCTGCCAATATTTGGGTCAGGAGAGCCCCTTGGAAGGCCAGGTGATAAGCCATCGCTCTCCTGCACACCAATGGAAAGTGATACAATTGAGCAGGTGGACATAATCTTCATTTCTGTTTACTCACTAGCTCTTTCCAAACTAGCTTTACATAGCACTAGGGTCCCCTTTGGTATTTGCAGCTCTCACATCTCTTCATATTCCACCCACCCCCCATTACTTTATGTTGGTTCAGTGATAACCTTAGCTACTATCTTGGTTCCAAATATGGTTCTTTTATAGCCAGTGATTCCAATGCCTGGGGTGTAACACAGTGCTAATGGGTCAGGCCAATGATAGATCCAGGTCACCGTTCTGTTTTTTATTCTAGGAAAAGGGGAAGGAATGGAATGCTAGTTATCTTTTGTGGGGTCAGTCACACAGAATTAAGAGTGGTTCCGGAAGCCTTTTCTAACTTGTTCATGCAACTCTCATCCATGAATTTATAGAACACCTCTTCTGGGTACTATATATTTGCTTGTGTGATCTGGTGGAGTTGTTAATTTAACATTCAGTGTACAGAGTAAGGTCTCTTGTTTTGTTGTTCGGAAATGTGTTCATACTTCAGGGCAATCTTATAGTTCCGGTATTTGGGGACTACATGATAAGGTCCATACTCCCACTAACCTCACATGATCTATCTCCCTGTTACCTCTGTGACTATGCCTCCCATCACTTTCTGTTCCAGACATACTGCTGGTTTGCTGAACTTCAAACGTTCCATGTGTGCTCCTCCCTAAGGGCATGCTCTTCCTTCTGCTGGGCATGCTCTTCCCCCATGTACATATGGCTGCCTCTCTCACTTCCTTCTAGTCCCAATACAAAAGCCACCTTCTCGGTGACATCCTCCCTGGCTAACCTATTTAAAATTGTATCCCTCCACCCTGACACTTCATCATCCCCTTCCTTTTTTTTTTTTTTTAGATTTATTTACTTATTTATTCAGAGAGAGCGAAAAAGAGGCAGAGACACAGGCAGAGAGAGAAGCAGGCTCCATGCAGAGAGCCCGACGTGGGACTCGATCCTGGGTCTCCAAGATCACACCCCAGGCTGCAGGCGGTGCTAAACCGCTGCGCCACCGGGGCTGCTCCATCATCCCCTTCCTACGTTGTTTTTCTTTTCTCCTTGGCACTTTTATCACTAACATACTGTATATTTTGCTTATGTATCTTATTTATTGTCCACATCTCCACTACACATATAAACTCCATGAAGAAGAGTTTTCATTTGTTTTTATTCACGACAGTATCCCTAACCCCTAGTACCGTGCTTGGTACATAGTAGTTGCTCAATAAACGTTTGCTGAACTGGCAAATTGATTATGCTAAATGTTTCCGCCAGATGTTTCCTTTCTGAGAAATTGCTTGGAAAAAGCCCCTCTGTTCTCTGTATCATTTTAGTTACTCTTTCTGAGACCTCACTAGCTCCACCTGAAGGTAAATGGAAAAAGTCAAGGAGGTCTATGGATCCAGAAGCCCTAAAGGAACACCATGTAACTGGCTTTTCATGAAAACTAACTTATGATGCCTAGACAGTAAGTAAATGCACATTTAAATTTTTTTCAATTTCTTTGGCATCCTAAACCTTATGGTGTAAGCACTATAGACAAAAGCACTGTTTAGTGAGACTCTATAGCATAACAACGAAATCAGGCTCAGCAAAATTCTGGCAACTTGTAGACTGAGTGTGTGCAGGTGAGAGCTTAGCCGTTCCCAGCAATAGCTTAAACCAAGAGTCCATCAAACTTAAAAATAGCCACTAGTCTCGCCATGCCTGATTGGCTCTCATTAAGAAATCTTTAGGTATTAGACCTAAACACAGACCCATAGCTATCTTCGAAACTGGGCTAAAAATAAGAGAGCAGAGCCATCAAGCATTATCCTCACCTGACTATGGCACTCAAGTTCAAGCATGTGATTCAAAATAGCCCTAAGGGAATCTCCGTTGTTGAGTTTAGAGTATGTCATCTGGCTATAGAGTATGTGTATATTTTACAACTTCCCTTAAACTCATAAGTTAATTAAATAAACAGTTAATAAAATCAATGATTCAAATAGACCCTCTGGAACTCCGGGCAGTGAAAATATGGTTTAGGATCTCCCAACTCCCAGCATCAGAGTCACCTGTAGTGAATACTGAAAAAAATACATTTCAAAAGATATAGCAAGACCTGATGAATAAGACTATCATAGGAGGGGCCTTATAATAGGCTTAACAAGCTCTCCAAGTGAGTTTTCCGAGTTGTGAATCACTCCTAACTCTGGTGTGACAAAAGGCTCTCATTTTCAAACAGAAGCACAGCAAAATCAGGGGCGTCTGAGTGGTTCAGTGGTTGAGCATCTGCCTTTGGCTCAAGTCATGATCCCAGGGTCCTGGGACCGAGTCCTGCATTGGGCTCCCCACAGGGAGCCTGCTTCACCCTCTATGCTTCTGCCTCTCTCTGTGTGTCTCTCATGAATCAATAAATAAAATCTTTTAAAAAAAAGAAACTAGAAATCAATAACAGAGGGAAAGCTGGGAAATTCGCAAATAGGTGGAAATTAAACAACAGAGCCTTAAGCAACCAATAAATCAAAGAAGAAACCAAAAGGAAAGTTACAAAATACTTTGTCGTGAATAAAACCTAAACCACAACACGAAACAATTTATGTGATACAGTAACAGCAGTCCCTGGAAATTCACAGATATACATGCCTATGTTAACAAAGAAGAAAGATCACAAATTAATAACCTAACTCCCCACCGTGAGGAACTAGAAGAAGAGAAGACTAAACCCAAAGCTAGCAAAAGGAAGGAAATGGTAAAGATTAAGGTGGAGATAACAAAAAAGAGAATAGAGAAACCATAGAGGAAATCAATGAAACAAAAAATGGGTTCTTTGAAAAGTAAAACAAAATGGACAAATCTTTAGTGAGATTTACTAAGGCAAAAGGAAGGAAGATACAAATTACTAAAATCAGAAGTGAAAGAGGACAATCACTACTGACCTTAAAAAAAAAAAAAACAAAAAGAACGATAAGACAATACTATACATAAATGTATGTCAACAAATTAGATGACCTAGATGAAAGGGATACATTCCTAGACATACCCAAATTACCAAAATTGACCCAAGAAGAAAAAGAAAATCTGAATTGACTTGTAACAAGTAGAGATTGAATCAGTAATCAAAATTTCCCAACGACAACAAAGACCAGGACCAGATGGCCTCACCGATGAATTCTAACACACTTTTAAGGAATAATTAATACCAATCCTTACATATTTCAAAGACAAAGAAGAGGGAACACTTCCTTACTCTGCAAGGCCAGCATTGTCATGATTCCAAAGCCAGATAAAGGTATCATGAGAAAAGAACACTAGAGACCAATATCCCTCATAAAAACACATGCAAAAGTGCTAGCAAACCAAATCCAACAGCATATTAAGGCTATTGTATAGCATGACCAGTTGGGATTTACCCCAGGATTGCAAGGAGGTTTGCATATGAAAATCATCCGATGTAATACACTGTATTAATAAAATGAAGAAAAGGTAGCATGATCACCCCAATTGATGCAGAAAAGCACATGACAAAATCCAAGACCAATACCCTTTCATGCTAAAAACACCTAACAAAATATGGGTGGAAAGTATATATTAAAAAATCTATAGCTAACATCATAATCAATGGTGAAGGACTTAAATCCTTCCCCCTAAGATCAGGAATAAGACAAGGATGTTCACTCTTGCCACTTTTATTCAACATTCTACTGGACGTTCTAGGCAATTAAGCAAGGAAAAGAAACAAAAACATGCAAATTGGAAAGGAAGAGGTGAAACCAAATCTATTTACAAATGACTTGATCTTATATATAGGAAATTATATACTAATAGGAAATTATATACTATATTATATATATTATAGATAGATAGATAGATAGATAGATAGATAGATAGATAGATGTAGTCAATATAATTATAATGAATAGTCAGGTGAGGGGTTTCAAAGAGAAATGCAAACTTTAAAAAAGCAACCAAACAGAAATTCCTAAAATTGAAAATTACAGTGTTTGGGGAAAAAAATTCCCAGATAGATTTTACGTTCTTCATAAAAGCAGAAGAAAATACCAAGTGAATTTATACAGAGAAGTCAATAAAAAAGGTATAATATGAAAAAAAGAAATTAAAAAATTAACAAAAAATAAAATTCTAAAGAATCTCCATAAATCTACGAGAACTAATAAATGAATTAATCAAAATTAAAAATACAGGATCGACACACAGAAATTAGTTGAAGTTCTATACATTGGGCATGAATAACCTAAAAAGGTAATTAATAAAACACTTCTATTCACAATGGCATCAAAAAGAAATAAAAAGTTAGAAATAAGCTTAACCAAAGAAATGCAAGATTTGTACACTATAAACTATAAAACATCCTGAAAGAAATTAAAGACCTAAGTAAATGGACAGACATCCCATTCATGAATTGGAAGACTTAATGTTAAGATGGTGATCAACTCCCCAAAGTGATCTAAAAATTCAAAGCAATCCCTATCACAATCCCAATGTGCTTTTTAAAAAATATTTTTAAAGATTTTATTTACTTATTTGACAGAGTGAGAGAGTACACAAGCTGAGGGACGGACAGAAAAAGGAGGGGGAGAAGAAGACTCCCTACTGAGCTCCCCACGGAGCCTGACGTGGGGCTTGATCCCAGAACCCTGAGATCAGGACCCTGAGATCAGGTGCCCTTCCCAATGTGCTTTTTAGAAGATATGGAAAAACTTATTGTAAAATTGATATGGAATTGCAAGGGACCCCAAAAAGCCTAAATGATATTAAAGGGGAAAAAAGGAACAAAATAGGAAGATTCCCACTTCCTGATTTTGAACCTTACTACAAAACTAGATGAATCAAGACAGTGTAGTACTAGCATAAGGACAGACATAGATATCAATGGAATAGAATTGAAAGTCCAGAAATAAATCCATTCATCTGTGGTTAACTGGTTTGCAACAAGCATGCCAAGAACATTAAATGGAAGAAATAAGTCTTTTCAACAAATGGTGCTGTGACAACTGGATAGCCACATGCAAAAAATGAAGTTAGATCCTATCTCATACCATATATAGAAAAGAACTTGAAATGGATCAAAGACCTAAATATAAGAGCTAAAACTCTTAGAAGAAAACACAGGGGTAAATCTTCATGATCTAGGATGGGCAGTGGTTTCTTTGACATGACAGCAAAAGTACAAGTACTAAAAGAAAAAAATATCAATAAACTGGACTTCATCAAAATTAAATTAAAAAATTTTTAATGTTACTCTTTTGAGAGAGTTAAAAAAGACAACTCACAGAATGGGGGAAGTGTTTGCAAATCATATACCTGAAAAGGGTCTAGTATCCACAATATATAAAGAACTCTTAACAAGAGAAAAACCAAACACAATTTAAAAATGGGCAAAGGACTTGAATAGACATTTCTCCAAAGGAGATCTATAAATGGTCAATAAACACATTAAAAGATGCTTAACTAACATCATTAGCCACTAGGGAAATGCAAATCAAAACCACAATGAGATACCACTTCACAGCCACGAGAATAATTATTTTTTTTAAATAGGAAAATAACAAGTGTTGGCCAGCATTTGAAGATATCAGAAGACTTATACATCAGCAGGAGGGAATGTAAAGTGGTGTAGCTGCTGGGGAAAACAGTTTGGTGGTTCCTCAAAGAGTTAAATGTAGAATTACCATACGATCCAACAGTTCCACTCCTAGGTAAGCACACAAAAGATTTGAAAACAAGGGCAGCCCAGCTGGCTCAGCGGTTTAGCACCTGCTTTTGTCCCAGGGTGTGATCCTGGAGTCCTGGGATCAAGTCCCACATTGGGCTCCCTGCATGGAGCCTGCTTCTCCCTCTGCCTGTGTCTCTGCCTCTCTCTCTGTCTTTCAAGAATAAATGAATAAAATCTTAGGAGAAAAAAAGATTTGAAAACAAGCGTTCCAACAAAAACTTGTATTTGATTGTTCATAGCAGTACTATTCACAATAGTCGATAGGTAGATAGGACCCAAATGTCTATCAGTGGATGAATAGCTAAACATGGTAGATCCATACAGTGGAGTGTAACTCAGCCACAAAAAGGACTGAAATACTACAACATGGATGAACCTCAGAAACATTGTACTCAGTGAAAGAAGCCATTTGCAAAAGGCCATATACTGTATGATTACATATATATAAAGTGTCCAGAATAGGCAAATCCAGAGACAGAAAGCAGATTGGTGTGGTTGCCAGGGGCTGAGAGGAGGGAGGAATGATGAGTGACTGCCTAATAAGTATGGGGCTTCTGTTTGGGGGAACCAAACCTATTCGGGAACTAGACAGCGGGGATGGTTGCATAGCATTGTGAAAGTACTTAATGCCACTGAATTGTATACTTTAACATGATAAATTTTGTTATGTATATTTTATCACAGTAGAAATGTTATGTAATTCAGTCTTCCTACCAATTCAGACTAATTTGTCTGATTTAGCATATTCTGCAGAAAATACATACAGTCTAGATCCATAAATCAGTGAGCATCCTTATCCACCTAACACCTGCCTGTGCTTTAACTTTGTTCCTAACTTGACCGCTTTTTTTGTTGTTGTTGACACATCTAACTGAAGTCTGCTTCCTTCCATAGGATCTTCTAACATCAAAACAGTTTTGTGCTGACTGGCATATTATCATCATTATCAATTACCTTTCTGTTTACTTTTTAAGTCCCCAAGGTTAATTATTCTAAACTCCATTTCACTTTAAAAGTCCTTTTAATAATAGTGAAGGGAAATATAAGGGAAGGGAGAAGAAATGTGTGGGAGATATCAGAAAGGGACACAGAACATAAAGACTCCTAACTCTGGGAAATGAACTAGGGGTGGTGGAAGGGGAGGAGGGCGGGGGGTGGGGGTGAATGGGTGACAGGCACGGAGGGGGACACTTGACGGGATGAGCACTGGGTGTTATTCTGTATGTTGGTAAATTGAACACCAATAAAAATTAATTTATAAAAAAATAAAAAATAAAAAAATAAAAGTCCTTTTAAGAGCAGCCCCTGTGGTGCAGCGGTTTGGCGCCGCCTGCAGCCTGGGGTGTGATCCTGGAGACCTGGGATTGAGTCCCACATCAGGCTCCCGGCATGGAGCCTGCTTCTCCCTCTGTCTGTGTCTCTGCCTCTCTCTGTGTGTGTGTGTGTCTATGAATAAATAAATAAAATCTTTAAAAAAAATAAATATCTCCTAATTATTTAAAAAAAGTCCTTTTAAGTTTGGGTTGCCTGGGTGGCTCAGGTGGTTGAGCATCTGAGTCTTGGTTTCAGCTCAGGTCATGATCTCAGGGTTGTGGGATCGAGCCCAAGGTTGGGTCAGCACAAAGTTGGCTTGTCCCTCTTCCTCCCCTTCTGCCCCTCTGCACTCTCTCCCAAATACATGCATACGTACATACATACATACATATATACATACATAAAATCTCTAAAATTCCTTTCAAGTTCAATAACAACCAATTAAATTAACCACACATTAGTTTGAGAATGGAGGTACTGATACAGGCACAATCTACTAATTTTCCAATTGTATTGGATATTATTGGTTGACAAACCTACCTGTATAAAATGCACATACATGCCCTCTCATGTGTCAAATGATTTTTCATATAGGTGTGTATCTACTAAACAATGCTACATGCCCTAACCTTTGAGATTTTGGCATTCACAAACATAGAGGCTTTACTTCCATTGCTGACAAACAAAAGTGCTGATTATTCGGTTTGTAGAATTGGACAGAAAATGTAAACCACCATGCAAATCAAAAGTCAAAAATGGCTGTGGCTTCCCCAGATGCCCCCCCTAGTGTTAAGCCACAGTAGAAGGAGTGCAAGAGATTATGCCTCTGACCTGTACTCCCCAACAAAACCTACCAATTAGGGTGGGGCTAACACTCACCTTCTTCAATGTCAAGATATTGTGTGGTAAAGCTTTCCTCCGTGAGCTCTTAGGTGACTCTTCATCAACAGAGCTTATTTCAAAGTCATTAGAATTTGTGTCAGATTGGATTAGAGGTGGGCTGATGCTGGGTTGGCATGGGCACCGTGTTGGGATCTGTCAAGGAGAGTATAAGGAAAAATTTAAAACTTGTGTGCTTTCCTCCAAATTATTGGTGTTTTCTTGTTGCTTAATGGATGGAGAGACTAAGAACCCAAAGTGAGAAAACAAGCCAAGAAAAGAATCTCCTACCTATATGTCTTCACTTCTTGTACCTATGCAAACCAGACCAATAGCCTTGGGTCATGCCCTGGATTGCTGCACACTTTTGCCAATCCCCAAACAGAAACAGAAATTTTGAATTGCTTAATTGATCAAAATCAGAATTCTGGTGTTATCTCTCAACTAATGCTTACTATAAATCTTATTTCGGTCTGATCTTTGTTTTGGTTTTGGCCCTGTCTTTGGAAGTCTGGTTCTTGTGGAGGTTAAGTTTTAGGGTTAAGATCTAGGCTTTGCATCCAAACTATAACCCTTGCTCCTGTCATTCCAGGAATTGTCTGGATCATATCTTGACTCTATTGGTTGTTTATCTTAATCCTGTCAAGATTGGTCTTCTGTAATTATTAGGAAAATCTACAGAACTAGCCCTGATTAGAACTGCTTTACTAGTTTTCCTAAGGGTATAAAAATTGATCATTTGGATTCTCCTTGGGTTTCAGCAGACTAATTTAGTTCATTCCAACTTGAACTTCATAGTACACTTGAATCTGAGGCACTGGTCTCTGCCATGGTCATTTCGATGTGGATCAGAATCTCTGATTTTATCTTTAACAAATGCCAGCTAAGCATCTACAGTGTGCCACAGCCCACTGTAAGCATTGGGCCTATAGCAATGACCCAAACAAAATCTTTGCTGTCATGGAACTGACATGCTTTCTTCTGTCATAGTCTCTGCTCCTGTTCAGGACAGATGGTCCTCAAATTCTCAAAGCCAAAGGAGCCCCAGTGAGGATTTTTCCAAGGTTCTGCCCCTGGAGCACTCCTGGCTAGAATCTAAGGTGCCCTCTTATTACTACAAGGCCCGCTGGGGGCTCTTGAGAAGAAGTCTCAAAGATTCACCAACCCCAAGTCCAATTCTAATAACAATAATGACAATCATGACAACTAACTTTTACTGAGGGCTTTACTCTGCCTTAATCTGTATTCTTTCCTTCCTCTCACTAGCTTTGGGGTTAGTTTGCTCTCCTCTTTTAAGTTCCTTCAGGTGAAGAGGTAGGCAGTTACATTATTGATTTGATCTTTCTCCCTGTCAGGCAGGGAGCACTCTCGGTAGATGTATTTCATTTGAAATTTACAACAGTTCTTTGAAGCATCTGATCTTGTGATCCTCATCTTCCAGGTGGGGAAAACTGGGTCTGAATGAGGACGTGACTGGCCCTAATTCTCATGGTGGCAGAACAAGCATTTGAAAGGTCTGCTTGCCTTTATGGTCCATGTTCTTAACTATTGTGCACTCCTAGCTCCTAACTATAAGGGCTCGGAAGGGGTGTCCCATGCTCAAGTTCAGGAAGTTTAAGGGCAATAACCAGAAGAGATGATGTGCCTCCTTCCTTAAGAAGGGCCTCAGAGAGGGGCACCTGGGTGGCTCAGTGGTTGAGCATCTGCCTTTGGCTCAGGTCATGATCCTGTGATCCTGGGATCAAGTCCCACATCAGGTTCTCTGTGAGAAGCCTGCTTCTCCCTCTGCCTATGTCTCCGCCTCTTTCTGTGTGTCTCATGAATAAGTAAATAAAATCTTAAAAAGAGGGGGCCTCAGAGGGAGACCCAGGTCTGTGACTATGCAGCCTCAGTTCCTAAATTACTGAATTCAGTTTGATTCCACACGAAGATGCTAACAATCTGCTAGTAAGTCTTCTCATCTATTTTCCTCAAATAAAAGGAACACGAAATGTCTTGGAGAATAATCAAGGCACGCACATTCCTAACACTTCAGATAAGACGTCAGGTGAAAATCTGTCAAGGGATAAAACGCTGGTTCAGTCTCAGTATTTCTGACAGAACTGTACACTGGGAGTTCGTCTCCCACAATCTCCCAGTTGCTCTGAATGTCACAGAATCCATTATGACTCCTGCCCCTTCAAGGGACCCAGCCATTGGTCAATTCCATACTTTCTCAGCTTCTATGCAGCATGGGGTATCAGGACCCTCAACTTAATGCTCTCAATGACCCTGTCATGGAGGGTTGTCACCTTGGCACCAAAAGGAAGCTTCCCATGCAAAGATGGATCTGGTGGTTGATGGCTCAGGTTCTGTTAACACCATACCCTGTCTTCAGCTCTGTTTCTCAGAAGAGGGACTGAGGGAACAGGCCAAAGATGTGAGGAGTGAGCCCAAACCAATCGTTTGAGAAAAATTGCCTTGGGACTATTGTTTGGCTTTTCCTAACCCCTTCATTATGAGAGGAAATGCCCCTAGAATCTTTACCTTGAATTTTCACACCTCCCCATCTACCCCCAACAAATCACCTTTTTAGAGAAACAGCATGTCTCTGCTATGAGAGTCTCTCTGTCTGTTGCTGGGACTAAGAGAAGAAGGAGAGAGGGAGGCATCCAGGAAGCAAAATTCCCCTTTCTGAATGTGAGAAACAACTGTGTAGCACTCAGTCATGCACATCTGGATTTGTGCCCCTGAGTGGTGAGGGAGTGCAGCCGTGGAGACAAGTAAAAGCTCGTGTTGAGGTTCAAGACTGAGGACAGGAAAGTTTGCAGAAGTGACCTTTGCTGCTGTGGTGCAAGAGGGCAACAGTCTGCTGACCCAGGGTCTGCTATACAACCATAAGATGGGCACCATTGGCGACCATCTTGGTGTTTGCTTCTCTACCTTCCACGGTTAATGTAGCCAGCAGAGCTGCCACATACAGTACAGAAACCAGAACGGGAGATATAGAGTCTTGAGGAGACATGTCAGAAATAAGCCCCAGTCACCTTTTGCCAAATGCGAAAGTAGAAAACGGGCTCCTCCTGGTATGGCCTTCTCAGTCACACAAGGATATTTGGGTATCATCCTACCCCCAAGTTGAGAGAAGGATAAAGGTAGCTGCTGAGGGTTATGTCCCTGGCAATATTTCCAGCTCCCCCTGGAACATCTCTAGATCAGAGCCCCAGAAGAGTCTAACTGAGCAATGGTTAGGATTATCAGGAGGTAAGAGGCTGTTCTATGCATAGGCTACATCTGATGAAGACTAAAGGTATATCCTTCTCCCTGTTGAGGCATGTACAAAGAAACTGAATATCTTAAAGCCTGGGGTACTAGAAAGATTGGGATACTAGAAAGACCATGGGTTTTGAGGTCAACGCATCTGGGTCAGATTACCACTTACTACCTGGGTGAGATTGAGCAAATTCTTTAACCTCTCTGAGTCTTTATCCTCACAAACAACCATTTGAGGTAGATATTAATATTAATATTAATTAATATAATTAATATTATACAGTGGGTGTAATATTAATATACACTGGAAAGGAAGGCTCAGAGAGGTTAAGCAATCAGCCCAAGATCACACAGCCAGCAAGTAGCATGAGAATTCAAGCATAGGTCTATCTGTTTGACTCAGCTGCCAAACTTTGCACAATTCCACTCTATTACCTCAGGGACCTTGGAGCCTCCAACCCAGATTCCACTTTTGGGCACATATTGGGGCATAGCCCCAAACATAAGTCCAGAAACAGCTCCATGCACATTACTAGTTCCAGTTCTAGGCAGAGTTCGGGAAACCTGAGATCGCTGTTGAAGAAAGAAAAAACACGGCAGTTGGAATGCCTGCACATTGACAGTGGAATGTCACCATCTTAATACTTAAAGCATTCTTGAGGTGCGTCAAGAAAAGTGAATATGGTTATGCCAGACAACACTGTGTGCTGGGCACTAGGTAAGCACACCATATATTTACACACTCTCCATTCTTTACAATAACTCCGTGGGGTAGAATCAGCTGAGAAACAAGGCCAAATTCCCCACTCCTTGCTTTTTTGGCAGATTAGGACTAGGGAATGGAAGAGGAGTAGTCTAATTAGGCACTGATGCTTGAGTTCACTATTACCTGTAGAGGTCTGCCTCTCTTGGGCTCTGGAGAGGGGCAGAGTTGATGGGTTGATCTTTCAGGCTCAGGTTCCAACATGAAGATGCTGTCATGGGACAGGGATTTGCTACCCATGTTGCTCTTGATCCTGAACAGGAAGGAAAAGGTCTGTAAAAGCAGCCCAAGGGCCATAGGAACTGAAGACACGTGTATATGCATAGTATGACATATCACAGTTACCTCAGAAAGAGGGCAAGGATGTGCATGTGTGGACATAGAAAGTTTTCCATAAGATATTGAGTCAAAAAATAAAGAATAGTATGGTCTCATTTAATATATACACCTACGGGCGCCTGGGTGGCTCAGTCCATTAAGCATCTGCCTTTGGTTCAGGTCATGATCCCGGGATCCTGGGATCGAGGCCTATGTCAGGGGGGTCCCCACTGAGCCACCCAGGGATTCCCTAATTCACCCATTAAAAGTCTACAATTCAATAGTGGCAACCCCGTGGAATGAGAGGGAAGACCCTGAGTCTTTCTGCTATTAAGGTAAGAGTTGTCAAAGATCTTTCACACCCAAATTTCTCTCTAGTGTTTTTGTTTTGATTTAAAATATCAAACATCTGCCCAGATCCTGGAGGCTCTCATTCACTAGATCTTTTCTTCTTTCACATGAGGGTTCCGTGATACATCTGTCTGATTTTCAAAGCCATCTTATGCACCTACTCTACCTCACCCCCACCCTCATCTTGCTAAACCCAGATGGAAATACCCTCTGATTGGGAATGAAGACAGGTTGATGACAATTAAGTGCTAAGATAAATCAGGGTAAAGTTAGAAACAAATAAAGGGCTAAAGGCACAAAAGACTCCTTTTGGAATGTGGGAAGATATTTTACCTTTTAAAAATTTCACCCAAAGACATCAGAAGAAAACTAAAAACTAATACCTCTTATGAAATGGATGTAAAAATCTTCAATAAAATACTAGTCATCAGAATCCAGCAACATAAGGAATTATACACTATTACCAGGTAGAACTTGCAAGAAATGTAAGGTTTTCTAATATATGAAAATCAATTAATGTAGTACACCATATCAGCAGAATAAAAGCAAAAACCATGTAGTTATTTCAACAGATACAGAAAAAGCATTTGTAAAGTCCAAATACGTAATAAATACACTCAACCTTGGCAGAGGACATCTGTGAGAAACTCTCAGCTGATGTCATATTTAATGATGAAAGACTGAATGTTTTCTCCCTCATCGGGAACAAGACAAGGATGTCTGCTCTTGCCACTTCTATTTAACATTGTCCTGGGGGTTGCAGCGAGAGCAATTAGGTAAGAAAATTAAATAAAAGACATCCATATTGGACAAGAAGAAGTGAAATTATATCTAATCACAGATGACACAACCTCATGTATAAAACTCCTAAGGAATCCAATAAAAACTACTGGAACCAATAAGTGAGTTCAGCAAGGTTGCAGGATAAAAGACCAATATACGACAATCAATTGTATTTCTGTATCCTTGCAATGAGCAATCCTAAAATGAAATGACAACCACTTCCAATTTTCATTTACAATAACATTAGTAAGAATAAAACACTTAGGAATACATTTAATGAAAAGTGTGTAAAAATTATACTCTGGTCACTCTAAAACCCTAATGAAATAAATTAAAGAAGGAAACCTAAGGAAATGAAAAAGCAACCTATGCTCATGGTTTGGGACACCTAATCTTGTCAAGAGGGCAATAAAGTCTGCAAACTGATCTACAGATTTCAGGTGATCACTATTGAAATTCTGGCTGCCTTTTTGTTATTCTTTTGCAGAAGTGGGCAAGATTATCTTTAAACTCATAGAGAAATGTAAGGGGTTACATACTGATAAACTTGAAAAGGAAAAACAACATTGGAAAACTCACACTTGCCAATTTCAAAACTTACTGCAAAGCCACCTTCATCAAGATAGTGAGTACTGGCATGAGGATAAACATATAGATTTGTCGCTATTTGTAGAGATGACACAGAGTAGACCCAAAATCCCCTCTCCTTGCCCCCCCCCCCCAGTTTATAGCAGGGCTAGTCTTAGCCTCACTTAGAGCTATAAGGTTGTGGTCTATACAATGGCATCATTTGTAACGTGTGAAACAAGCCCCTCTGTCCATAACCATCTCCTGCTCTCTGAGATTCCTCACGTTCAATGCACTAATTAAGGTCCTTAAGGAAACCTAGGTGTTAGCAGTCAGGGAGTAGTATAACAAGTATAACACGTTTACTAAGCGTCCCATTTCCAGCAAGCAAAGCCTTGAGGGAACAGGTAACAGCACGGGTGAGCTCTATGGGCAGCCCAAATAAGTCTGGCAAGTTGGGCCCAAGTGGAACTCCGTAGGCGGGGATCTGATGGATACAGGAACAGCTGGAGGTACTGGACGTTCAGATACGGAAGGGGGGCATCACAGATGAAAATCTGAATAGGGGTGGCTGAGAAAGAGGCTCCCCCATTCTGGCACCAGTTCCAGCATTTTCGATACCCCCTCTGTCTCCTGTGATGGAGGGAGAAATGGATTTGGGGTTCTTGGTTTGTTTGCTTGTTTCTTTGTCTTTACATTAACACAAGTGATTTAAAACTTTGGCCTCCACCAGCTAGAGGCTTCTGTCTCTGAGATTTTAATCATGCATTAAGAGATGTAGCTCCCTGCCCCCCCCCACCAACCCCGCTGGGGAAATCACAGACCTATAGTCTGAGGGCCAGGCAGGCAAACCAGGCCCAGCTTCCCAAATGAGGCAGGCTGTCTTTACTTCAAGTAAAGAGGCCTCAAAAAAAAAAAGAAAAGAAAAAGAAACAGAGGCCTCCAGCTCCTCACTAGTGGTAGGCCCCATGTGGCTGTGATGGGAAATGCTGTCCTCATCTACTGGTGGTACCCAGTGCTCTCGGGGTCAGGGGTGTGCAGCTGCCCAACCTACTGAGCTATGCACCCCAGACCACAAGCATACGTGTGAGCACAGAAAAGGCCCCCTGGCAGTGGCTGTAGCCCCCCTGAGCTTACCTGGGCTCAGTTCGCTGACCCTCTCGAACTGGCTCCAGAGAAGAGATGTTAATACTGCTGCTGGACAAGCTTGATTTTAACCTCCTCCCTCCCTGGGCATCTTCAGACTCTTTTTTCTTCTTCTTGCCAAAAAAGTTCTTGAAGGCTTTAAATTTGGATTTCTTCTTTCCTGGAAGTTAGGGAACAAAAGCAAAGCAGAGTATGACAGCGGAAGGGAGGGTGGAGAGGAAACAGGGCCTTTGTGACAGGAACAAGGACTCTGATCCCCGATACCCTGCAGGCTTGGCCCTCGCCGCCACCCACCAAGCCCACAACACCACCCATTTGGCCTGTTCCCTTCTTCACAACTCATTATGACAAAGTGTCTGAGTTTCTGGGGTGAGCAGAAGCTCAGGCTCAGCTCGTGGTCTTCGGAGGGGCCTCTCTTCATGCCCAACCCACCAGGCATCCACCTGCCTCTCCACTCCAACGCACACCTCTTTTCTGACCTAAGAAGTTCATTCATGTGCAGCAATTACTGAACCCCACAGAATCACTGGGGACTACCCCCTGACTTCCCTCTGGTGGCTGGGATCACTGCTGTCCAGTTGGAGAGCCAAGCTTCCACAGGGGGAAAAAAAACCCTGGGGACCCCAGAGTTCTAGGTGGGAGCTGGTACCACTCACCTTGGGTGCTGAAAGGACACACACCCAAGGGGTGAGTGCTGTCAGGGCAGTGCGGTGAGGGAAGCCATCCTCGAAGAGGGAACTTAGGAGCAAGGGAGAGGGCTGGGAAGAAAGGGCCACCAGGTAAAGAAGCTGCCTGTGCAAAAGTCATGACAGAATCAGATACCACAGGGTTTTGCAAGGAGTGCATGCGTGCATGCGTGCGTGTGTGTGCTATGTGCGCTGTATGTGTTCTTCAATTATTGCCGGCTGGTTTGGATTATCTACAGGGCTACTGCCCTCTGCACATGCAAATAATTGAAAGTTTGTTCTATCTACATTAACTACCAGGGCAGCAGTGAGGAATGGGACCTTGAGATGCTCCTAAGGCTCTATTTGGCTTTTGTGAATTTCCTAACAAGCACACATATCTTTACTGGGGCTCAGCAGAAGATGGGCAAGGGGAGGGGAGTCGGTGCTGCATTCCTCAAAGGGAAGGAATCAGCTCTTACTGCTTTTACATACAGTAATTCACCAGCGTAGGTGTCTCATCCAAATTCTCAACAGTCTGGTCTCTGAAAGGCCTCCTGCCAGCAAAACAGGGCTGCGCTGGCAGGGAAGGGCCCAGGCAAGGTAGTTGCCAATGAGGCTGCCACTAGAAAAGCTTAGTAGGATAATGGAAAGTACCACCCAAGAGTCAGAACACTCTGGAATCCTTGGCTTGCCTCTGCTATCAATTAGCTTTGTGACTCTGGGTAAATCACTCAACCTCTCTGGAACTCAGCAGGGAAATAAAGGGATCCCAATAATCAGCATCTTCCAAAGTGTGTTCAGAGGGTGGTCATAGGTCTATTGCATGGATCTGCAGGCCAGTCATTCTGAGAAATGCTGAGTTAGACAAAGTTTAGGACTCTGCTTTCCAAAAAGACTTTTCTGGAACTTCAACATGCCTATATGTATGGTGAAGCCCTAAGATACTGGGCACAATACTGTCTCCCAAATGCATGCAAGCAGAATGTCTGGCAAAACACACTTTGGGAAATGCTACAGTAGGGTTCTTCTAGCTCTGAAATCCTATGGCCTGTTTGTATACTGATTCCTAAAAAGCCTACCTATTAGAAAGGTTTCTAACGTTCAAGGCCTGCCTTCAGTCCAGTGTCCCACCAACCTCAATAATCAATCCTTTTCTCTCTACACACCTGAAACTTGACTGTTGGCCCTTCAAGTTTTACATCTGAATGCTCTCTAGTCTGTCCATCCATCCATCCATTCATCCATCCAACAAATGTTTAAGACCAAGCACTTACTATGTTTTGGGTATCAATGAGAAAGGAATAAGATACAGTTCTGTGTCTTAGCTACCGACCCCTACATCAAGGCTGTAGCCAGGCCCTCTTTAGCATTCTCATTAGCAACCAGCACAGTGAAAGGCATGCGATAGCACCCCAGAAACCACTGAGCCCATTGAGGAGTGCAGAATACCAACACAACTGTCAATTCCCTTAAATTGAGGTCACTGAGCAGTCATCACTAAGCATCGTATAAACACTGGCCCTTGTCAGGATTGATATAAATTGTAAAAAAATGTAAGTAAAGAATTTAGCATAGGATCTGGTGTGGTGCAAGTGCTAATAAATGTGAGCTAGTACTAGGGAATCAATAATTATTTCTTTAAAAAAATTTTTTTACATAAGCTCTATACCCAGCGTGGGGCTTGAACTCACAACCCTGAGATCAAGAGTTGCATGCTCTACTGACTGGGTCAGCCAGGTATCCCAATAATTACTTGTTTATTATGCCAGATTCAATTCTATCTGTAGAATCGATCACTTCTATCTATAGATAAGGGGAAGCAGCCCCACATCTACCATTCAATAGTAAATTGCATGCATGTGCAATATGCATGATTAGAAGCAGAAGCCGGCATGGGGTGGGACAATGCAAGACCAGAGGACTGTTTGCTTGATAATCACCACTTAACTCATTGCAGTTGGGATGGCTTGGGCAATTTCTCATCTACTAGGATGTATCTAAATAGGGTCACAGTTGGGACCAACTTACCAGTCCTACCTACCAGTAGAAAGAATAAAACATGAAGATACAGCAGGAAACTGAGTTTCCTGCTGTAATTTTTTTTTCAGGAAAAAAATTCAACTAATTTCTATAATAATAAATCATTTAGAATGATGCTTGGGATGCTCGAAAATGCGCATTCCTCTACTATACTAATTACTGAAATAAGTTCTTTGCTGGAAAAAGATTTACCAACTGGACCCCTGGGGAGAAATGCCCTTCTCTGTGGTATCTGCCTATTTCTCTGGTGTAAAAGGCCCCCCATTTTCACCCACAAGGAGTAAGAGTTACAGATTCTCAACGGGTGGTCTCCTCCTGGCCTTCTGAAAGAGGAACAACTTTATGCTCAGTGTGTTTAGAAACACAGTGATTGTTGCCCCTCTTTGCTTCAAAATCCCAGACTAGAAGGGAGGAGGGCAAACCTGCTTCTCATAAACTGGCAAAGGCAGAGAGGTGAGAATCAGCAGCTGGTAGCTGCACTTGTGACACAATCTAGAAACACTTAATAATTGAATAAAACACTTTTAGGGATGCCTGGGTGGCTCAGTGGTTGAGCATCTGCCTTCGGCTCAGGGCGTGATCCTGGGATCTGGGATCGAGTCCCACATTGGGCACCTTGTAGGGAGCCTGCTTCTCCCTCTGCCTGTGTCTCTGCCTCTCTCTGTGTGTCTCTCATGAATAAATAAATAAAATCTTAAAAAAAACACTTTAAAACTCTCCAGGCTGTAAAACTGAACGTAGCAAATGTAATCATTGTACAGGCAGACAAAAATTATTATGCACTGACACTCTTTCACGTCCCTAAGTTAGCAAAATGATTAGTGACTTCAGAACTGTAACAGGTGCTAAAATTTACTTATGTGTGTATTTCAATCCCACCCTGACTCCTGCGAATTTCCATTTTGCTGGGCAAAAACCACAACATATTTTCCTACAAGCATCAAAAATACCTTCAGTAATATGATTCTCTTTCAACCATGGGCACTAGAAAGAAAACAATGTTTCCATTCGGTCCTGTGGGGGAGCTCTGAGGATGGGGGTGCGAGCACTTTGTTGGCGGAGCTGGGGGTACGCCGAGAGCCAGTGACCACCACACTCGGCAGGTTGGTGGCTCACTGACCTAGGACGGTGACTTGGAAGCTGGACACTGCCTTATCGAATAACCCATTACCACACATCCAATCTCAGCTGCAAGGGTCCAAGTCTTTGGCGTCTTTTGGCTTGGGAGACCCCTCCAGCACCAACCACATCGGACCCCATGTGAGGAGACCAGCCCTAGGAAATAGATACAAATCCAGGAACTGTCCACACACTATGTCTTTTGAAACCATAATGAAATCTGGGACGGCTGCCATATATTCAAGCGTATGAATTAATCTCTCAAGCTTTCTTTTGTAAAGGGGTGCCTGGCAGCTAAGACCCCTGCACAGGCTGGTTTTCAAAGCTGCTGAAGTGCCAAAGGGTAGATAGACCTAGGTAGCAGGTGAGTGTTGAAACATCTGTATCCAGCAATGTTCATGTAGGGTTGCCTCTACACAGGGTAACTCGTGCCCTGTCAGGTACAGCAGTGGTGGTCAGTGAGCTGCCAGCTGTCTGAACTTCTCCTACAATAAAGCCATTGATTGCACTATGGATTCCAAAACAGGCAGTAGCTTTCTACATCCTCATCCAACGAGGGCTGTGTGTCACATTCCAGAAAATAGCTCCCAGAAGGCAGGTTTTTACCCCCCAGAGAAGAAAACACCATTAACTCCAATGAAGAAATCATTGCTTCTGGGTTATATATGTGCTTATCCACCAAGCATACAGGCAGCCCACCTGGGTTGACCTTAATGGGCTTTAAAAGTGCATCACATAATGGTACCTTGTTCCCTCATATCACTGCTTGGGAAGAAAACATTTCTACCTTAGCCTTTCTTTCCATCGACCTCTGAACAGCCATGTTATTCTCTGGCTAGCAATGACTAGTTCTCAAAACACACCCAAATGTCTGGTCTTTTAAAAAACAAAACCTTGGGAACAGAGAAAAGGCATTTCCTTACCTCCACTCTTTATCAAGATGCACCGCATTGCCACCTTCTTTTGTAGGCATCTGTCTAGCTCATATCCAAAAAGATAGGTCAGTTGGTAATTGGGGCTGTCTTGGTGTAGAGGCCTATCATTCATTTATTTATTCGTTCATTGATTAAATATTTGGGGGTACCGAAGGACTCTCTCTGAGACCCAATTAATCAATGGTGACGCAGACATGAAGACCCAAGCCCTGCCCTCAAGGATCTATGCATCAGGTTCGGCATCTCCTGCCCCACATCATCAGTGAAATCAGGCCTCTAGGAAACCATAGGAAGGTTCCATTCTGTTCTCCAGACCACATCCTCCACATCACACACTACATCCACAAAAATTGAAGAACAAGCCAGTGAACTGTTACATTTCATTCTGTCTTTAATCAATGTCTTATTTTATGTCCAATGGTTCCTTTGGCAGGGGTGTGGTGTCAGTGAAGCTTATCATTGTCTAGTGACTTTTACCTCCCTCATGGTTGCGTATCCCTCATAGGTGGTTCCTCAAATGAAGGAATGGACACACATCTGAGTAAGTTTTACAGAAGAATTTTTGTTAATTGAGTCCTACTTAGCCAAAGCCAGTGGGGGCATCTTTTGTTTGTATTCTCCCTTTATTCCTCAAATTACAAATTTAGCTGTTGGTTAAATCTGGATCACTAGCTACAGTACGACCTCAGTTGAATCTCTCAGACATGGTCTACTCTCATTTTTTTTTCTGGATTAAGCAGAAATACTTCTCTTACCTTAGTATGCAGAACCTGGTAACCATCTCAAAAGAACATTGCAAGGCCTCAGGTAAACCTCTTCTGATATCAGAGTTGGACCCAAAAAGTTTGCTTGTGACTTGATTTTTTCTTAGGAGTTAAATATAGTAAACAAATCTAGTTCTAGTTTACAAGATATTACTGGGCTACTTACCATCCTCGCTGGCCTCCAGAACCTCCAGACTTCCAGAAACTTCACTTAGTGATTCAGCCATACTAGTATCACTAAAAGATTGAGTGAAAAAGCAAAAGATCATTATTTGATATCCAGGGCACAACACACTAGTTTTACCCTACCCCTTATTCTTCCATTAGATTCTTAAACCATTCAAGGAAAACCATACAAAGAGAATTGCCATTAGGGAAAATTACCCTTCCTTAAAACATCATAATTTCATGTATATGAAATGTCTAGAACAGGCAAATACATAGACACAGCAAGTGTCTTGCTTGGGGTTGGGGAAATGGGTTTGTTTGTGAATAATACATCTAGGAAATACTACTTGCAACAAATATAGATATAAGGACCAACCTTCTTAATTTGTCAAGAGCATGTATAAATCAACAAGAGACAAATGACTCCGTGTAAAAGAGGATAAAGGATACAATTGGCAGTGAATGGAAAAAGAAATACCAATAGTTAATAACCACATGAAGAAAGACCCTGTCCCACTCCTAATGAAGGAAATGTAAATCAAAAGATCAGGTTAATATTTCCACCTATCAGATTGTCAAAAAAGTTTGACATTCTAATTCTAATGATGTTCCATTGCCGACAAGGATAAGAAACATAAACACTCCCATACACTATGGAGTGTAAACTGCTCTGTGAAGAACAGTTTCGCAGAATCAAGAGTCCTTAAAATGTACATACCTTTTGATACAGTATCATTGCTGCTAGAACTTTACACTGTAGATATATTCACACTTGTACACAGAAACATACATGCAAAAATTTTTATCACCGCATTGTTTTAAAATAACCAAAAATGGGAAACAATCCAAATGGCCATCAAAAGGCTAATTCTCCTATGACTCTTATTCTATGTCATGGGAGAATCATCTGTCCTTGTGCTTTTCTCCATCAGTACAGATCATCGATTGAGCATCAACTGTAAATTTTCCATTTAATCTAGCCTTCTAGCAAAAGCTAGGGTCAACAGGCCTAGGGAAACGTGTCTGTGGATAATCCAATATTTATAAATCAATGCTGACATTTTTATGGGAGTTTGTGTGGGGTCAGCAGGGGAACCTGATCAGTACCCTAACTCAGAGAAAGCCTGCTCTATATTCATACACAGCTTGGAAGCTGTAGAAAGACGGGCAGAGATGGGCCTCATAAGAGCTCCCCCTAGGGTCTTGATCTGACTGAAGTACCATCAAGCAGCAGGGTTAAGTAGGTTCTGGAGCCTCCCTCCCCACCCCAGATCTGCTCTGCTCCCAGACATAGTTAAACTGCCATTGCTATTTCGTGGATGGACTCCAGGCCCGTGTGGTCCAGCCCTCCAGCCATAAGCCCCTGATACATCTCCAGAGGTAGAGAGGGATGCCTGTAGGCTCTAAGGTGGCTTCAGACCCTCTTAGCAAGAAGTCCTATGATTTCCTACAGTGTGTGTTCTTTCTTACCGTGATGAGTAATAAACACAACTCGTTTGACGACGGGTGTGATCCTGGTGGGCTTTGGCTGAAAGGTATTGACATTTCGTTCAAGTCACTCAAGTTCTATGAGCTAGCATCACAATTCTGCGTGAAAATGACTTAATCCCAAGCCCACACAATCCTCACTAATGGTCACACGCATACACACACACAAAAGTTCTACCTGGAGATTTGGGAGGAGCAAAGGGATAGTAAAGTTCAGAGGCCCCTCAGAAATTCCAAGGGAGGATAGGAGAATTCCTTGGGCCAGGAGCAATTCACATCACGGGTGAGATCCTGGGCCACCTTCATAAACATGGCAGCACTCCCACCCCCAATACTAAGGATGGCTTTTTCGACACTGGGGAAATAAACTGTCTCTGAGCTTTGGAGAAGTCCGTAGAAAGGGAGTCTGCCTTCCAAAATACCGGGCCACAGTAGGCTAATATTGTCCTTAACCCATCCAACACTGTCAGGGCTAGAAGAAAGGTAAGCAACAGTCAAGGAGAAAAATACAGAAGCCAACAGGGAGAACAAAGAGGACATCTTGGCAGCATCTGAATCCCTTAGGGCACTTACTAGAATCACTCAAGTTGACTAACTCTTGAGTGTAGACTGTCTCCGATTCTGCAAGGCACACCTGCCTCATCCTCCCAAGCAAATCCAAAATGCCTTGAAGACGGCACCACCATCAGCTGCACTGTCTCCCTGTCTCCATCAACCAACCGAAAACCACAGGAAAACACACACACTTCCTCTTGATTTGAAATTCTCTTACCACTCCACGTCTCCGCATCTCTTTCAAGCAGAGCTTACAAGAGGCATGTCATCCATACTTACTATCCTTCTGTCTTCACTTATTCTCCTGGGCTCGCTCTCTTCGGGCTCCAGACCCAAAGTGCCTACAAAGCCCTCGACCAAACTGACTCTTGTTAAATGAGGCCACAGGTGCTTTGATTTCCCTGTGACATCAGCCTCTCCCTCCTTATTTGAATAACTTCATTGCTCTGCCTTTTTGAACATTGCACTCCCCTCATTTTCCTCTGACCTCATTGGCTGTTCCTCCTCAAACTCCTTCGCTTGGATCTTTCACCTCTCCCTGGATCCGAAATATTGTTGCTCCTAAAGGCACTGTCCTTGGCCCTCTGTATCTATCCCTGCTTCCTCAACCGGGGCCCTTCAGTAGATACATGACCATGAGCCACAACAGCAAGCCATTGTGTAGCTTGCTTCTAGTAGCCCCATTTAAAAAAGCAAAAAGAAATCAGTGAGGTTGGGTAGAGCCGAAACATTATCCTATTTTATTTAACTCAACAGAACCAAAATAGGAGCCTTTCAATGTGTAATCATTACAAAATGAATATCAAGGGGACATTTGACATTTTTTCACGCTAAGTCTTTGAAATCGGGTTTGCATTTCACACATACAGCACATCTCAATTAGAGCTGGCCAATTTCAAGGGCTCAGGGTCACATGTGGCTAGTGGCTACCACGTCCTAAGTGATCTCATTCAGACTGGAAGTACCATCTATATACTGGACTCCATGACATCTCTCTCTAGCCTGGATGTCTCCTCTGTACTCCAGAGCCCTATAACCAACTGCCTGGTCAACACCTCCAACTAACAGTGCATGGAACTCTTGCTTTGCCTCATACCCATCCTCCGCAGTTTTCCCTAGCTCTGAAAAATTTCAGATTGAAATTTAGGAGCTCTTGATTCCTCTTTTTCCATTGTATGTATGCCACATCTAATCTGACAGTAAATCCTATGAGTCCTCTTTGCACATATTTCTATAATTCGACCATCTCTGTCCTCGTCTGAGCTGTCATTGTCTTGTTGCTGCATCACAGCAATGATCTAGCTTGTGTCCCGGCTTCCATTTTTGCCTCCCTATTCTCCACACGGTGGCCAAATCAGTCACATGTACCCCCTGCTCAAAACCCCCTAGTGGCTTGCCACCATGCTCAGAGCAAAGTCCCAGCTCCTTACACCTGGGGCCTTATGTGATCTGACCCTAAGCCTCCTGACTGCCAATTCTGCTCCCTCCCCCCACCCTTTCTCCCTCTGCTGCAGCCTCATTGACCTTCTCACCAATCCCCAACACCAGGCCCTTTCAATCTCAGGATCTTTGCACTTGCTGCTCCCTTTGCCCAGAGGGCTCTTCCCCCAGGTAGCTACATGGTTGACTCTTGTAGCTTTCAGGTCAGCTCAGTTGTTTGCTCCCAGAGAAGACCTCCATGACCACCCTAGTTAGAGCCCCCAGTCTCTCTCCATCACATGACCCTTTCTGAACATCTTTATAGCCCTCAGTGCTACTTGAAATTGTATTTTATATTAATTTACTTGTTTCTCATCTGTCTTCTCTGCTGGAGTGTAAATTCCATAAGGTCGAGGGCCTTGTGTATTTTGTACATCACTGGATCTCCCAGCCCCTAGAATGGTACCTAGCACACAGCAGGCACTCAATAAATGATTGCTGCCCGAATGCCTAAATTCAATAAAAGAAGGGGAGGGAATATAAGAGCCATCGTTGTGGTCAGAAATTTCTTAGAAGTAGAGGCATGCTGTTGGAGGCAGAGGAACACTTGGCCTGGGGGAGGGACCCCCTGATTCCCACCTTTTTGAGGCCTCACTTCACTCCTAGCCAGGTGGGCCCCACTCGTAGGTTATTCGCCATCCAGAACCAAGCACATTTGGGTCCCCCCTGTCCTCAGTGTAGAGAATCCACTCCTAGGTGTCCCAGCCACCAGCACCCTAGTAGAGAGCCCCACTACCCTAGGCTGGACCCAGAACCTCACAGAGGAGGCTTCAGGAATGGGCACCTTGCCTCATCCTACTCTCCCACTGGCAAAACTTCTTTTCGGTTGCCCACCCCCCCCCGGACTAACTTTATTGACCAGAACTTGGCTTCTCATAGGGACGTCATTGTATTTCTTTCACGTGTCTCATTGTGGCTAATAGAAATCTAAAGTGCCCTTGTTCCTTTGTTACAGCAGGGCTCTTTCAGAGTGGCCTTTCGACCACCTCATCTGGCCTCTACTTTTGTGTATGATATTTAGCAAAAACTCTTTGTCAGCTCACTGATATCTCAAAAAAGTCACAATGTTTGGTCTCAAATACCAGCTTGACTCGGACCCTCCCCTGCTTAAACTAGTTTATCAACTTCCCACTGCTGGCAGGATGGGAGGCAAGTTCTTGACATCCAAGGCCCTCTGCAACCTGGTCTCCCCTGCTCCCCTCCAGTGAACCAGAAGGCCACCCCCACTCATACCCTCATGGCCAGAATTACCAGTCATTCCTCAAACACACCATGTTCTCTTACGTTTAGTGCTCTGTGTGGGCTGTCCACTTGGCCTAGAACATCAACCCCCTGATCCCCACATCCTTAAAATCCTACATGTTCCTCAAGGTCCAGCTCAAAGGTCACCACCCATGCCCCATGCCCTCGGACCTTTGCACATGCCTCTGTCATAGCTGATATCACCTTGAAGACAGGGACCACATCTTGCCTATCTGGATGTCACCAGCACCTAGCACAGTACCAGGCACACAGAAGGTACTTGCTGCAATTTTTT